ACATATCCGGTTAAAAGTGTTGCGTTGTTTCAGTTACGCATGCTTGGCGTTGATTATATGAACAAAGACTTGGTGAGTAATCTCTTTCCACACCTAACTCGAGACGTCACCGAATTATTACTGTGTGTTTTATCAAATAAACTTAACTAATGTGGAACAATATCCTATAATAGTGTCTGAATTCTAGTCTTGCAGTGAGCTGTGTTACTCAGATTGACTTAGTGTGACTTAGGGCTGAAATATCTGCTCTGCTCTTCAGTTTTAAAAATATTACAGAAGTCGAATAGCCTACCTATAGAAAATTATTGACATTGAGAGGAAAGCTAGATAGTGAATGTTATGTTTGATAGTGGATCTCACGAATAATTAGAATTCCATTGATACTGCCTACTTTCTGCATTGATTTATACTCCAGCGCACTGCCTAAGTTATATTCTTAGACTAGTGAAATAACAATATGGTACAGTTCAATAGCCGGTTCTAAGCCCATATAAAGAGTGAAAGTTGGACGTGAAGCTATGTCATTGAGGTGAGCTTTAAAAGCAAACGAGTAAATAAGCCTCCAAGGATGATATGGGGATAGTGTGGTGAAAATCGGCCCAGTCTCTACAGAAACTTAAAAGCACAGATAAATATTAAAAAACATACTTTCCGATAGCATTAGATAGACGAAATCAAGCGGGATAGTAGAAGCCTTCGGAAAGCTAATCAGACCATGCATCTTCTTACAATGAAAGCGAAAAAAAGAATGTGGACGCGATATAGAGTGTCCTAACTACCTTCGAAGTTGGCTCACAAGGCTTCTCGGATAACGATATAAACGAGAGGATAAAGTATGGAGGTAGCAAGAATTTGTGGTAGCAGACAGAATGGAAATCCACCACCCAACTAGTTAACTGGAGAGTCAACTATCTACTCTGTTCAATCACATGACAACCACGATTACACAGACGCAGTAGCTTCTGTGATTTCACCAACATCATAGTAATATCGAGATTTAACTCGAAATATTGGAGTTATAATTTGCCAATACTACGCTGCTGCAGAAAATGCAGTCTACGGGAAGAAGGCAGACTCTGCTGATAACCGCAAAGAGTAATCGGAATGAGCTCGGGTAGATGGTGACATTGAAATTCTTGTGTGTGTGCGTGTGTATTGTAGTGTGGATTTCAAACTGTGATAAAGGAGATTTGTAGGTGTGTTTGATGATTTTGATTTGGTCGTGTTCAACACCCGGAAACTGTTGGACGCAAATATGCGGGACAAATTCACTGCAACCATCAGATGGATATTGGAGACATAATTCAATATCACCAAGAAAATCAGTTTGGACAGCTAGGGGGAAAACATAAATACGTTGGGCCCATTAAAGGACTGAGGAATATCTGAATTTCGAGGCAGATTTATGTCTAATGTCATTTAAATTTGAAGAAATACGGACGAAAACCAACGAGTTGGCAGAAGAGGAAGGCATCAGTTACAGATCTTCTAGTGAATAAGGAGAAGAGAGAGGTCATGTACATGACAACTTTACAGGAATAAGAATCAGTCTCTATCAGCGGTAGAAATTTGAAGGAAATAACTTCCTACACTTATCTAGACTACATCGTTTCAACTACTACACCGTGTCAAGACGAGACAGGACCGGAAAATCAAGGGAATTTTTCGCTGGTCCGAGAGCAGTTTGAGAATGCACTGTATTCAGAACGAGGAGCAAGATCCAGATTTTCAGCACTAATGTAAAATGAATGCTTCCATATAATTTCGATGCCTGACGAGTTGTACAAATCATTCACAACAGACAGGCATCCACTTTCGCTTGATACTGGAATCCAGATGGCTTGTGTGAAAAGATAAGCAAAGAGGAATTCTGGGAATCAGTCAACCAAGAGCTTACAGACTAACAAATATTCAGAAAGGATACGAGCTAGGCTGATCATACGCTGAGGATACCGTTGAATGACATCACGCATCAGGCTGAATATGAAACGACTATTTGAGCGTCCAAGGGTGATATGGAGATAGTGTGAGGGGGAGATGAAAGCAACTTAGGAGAATTGCACAGAACGGGACAGAATGGAGATGCACTGTTGAAGCTCTGTGTTCCACTTGGAACAGAAGGGAGTATCAGTAATAATGAGTTAAGCGGTACATTACTACTAAATACCTTACCGCTTTTTGCAAAAATTTGTTCCTAGATGAGGACCATACAGTATGAGTATATACTAGACTGGTAGCTCACTTTAGTTTAACGGCTGTTCATCCAACATCTTGACAAAACAGGCACGAGCATTGATTCCAACCAGCAGTACTTATTTGGTCATAATGATATAAAAACCTGACTACCCCATAAAACAAACAGCTGGTGATTAGTAAAAGCAGGTCTTCTGTGTTCATTTTAACAAAGTTAACAAAGAGTTAAATATGATACATTTTATTTGATAAAATCACACGTTAATAGAACAGTGTCATGAAGTAAAGAACACTATAAAACCTAAAAATATTTGATTTGATAATAGATCATGGGGGTGTGATAATGAGATAAATCAATACAAATTAAACCAGGATTTTATTACTTAAGTCTTCAACGAAATCGCAAGAGCTATCAATTCACAATGACAACTATGCTGAAGGGTGTGGAAAGAATATGCGAATACTTACGATCCGCTGACGAAATAGTTAGCATCATTTTAGATAAAGGTTTAGTATGTCTCAATTCATATTGCATGCGCAGTAGTGCACAAGCCTAGAAGTAAAATACAGGTCATTTAATGCTACTCGGATTTAAGTGACCCTTGAGATAATATCAACTTTTTTTAAGACTCCTGTGATATATATTATTCCATCAAATCCAGAAAGATAGTCCTATATATGGTGTCCAGTTGAATGAACCATTACGTATACTGAAAGGTTATGGTAATCATTGATGCCGTTAAAAACATACAAGCTGTTTGTTGAAGTGTAGACAACCAGTGGTATCCTTCAGGGTTTCTCTGTCACCATTAATAATTAATTCCAATATCGATGTACTCGTGGGAGTAATTCTGGCCGACTCAGACGTCTCAGAGGTTGAATTGTTAGTATGGAATAATCCTCTTAACCTAAAGTGTGCTAATGGCATAGTCAATTTAGGTGAAGATGTTATCTTCGGAACGCTTTAGGTATATGATTTGCTTCTTGTCAAGTGTAAGATGATGCCTGAGGACATTTCCCATTGATTACTAGTTTAGAAATAGTTAGTGAAATGGTGAAACATGTTGACCACTTCACTTCTTCGGGATGTTACGTCACCTTAAATATAGTGATTCCTGGCAAAAATCTCAGCACAGGTACAAGAGACTCGGTATTAGCCAAACACCGTTATCTTCACTTTAGGTGAGATATCAAAGGATCCAGGTTAATTTACAACTTTGATTCCAAAGTTCTATGGTAGGAAAAAATTGGAGACTTCTGTCCATAAGTGCATTAGTTCAATTTATGTTGTTACGTTGAGGAGAATGGTCAGTAAGAACGGGGTTACATATAGTGTTAGGTAGAGAAAACAATCAGTGGGGTGGTGAAGCTAAATCAGTTAAGATGGCTAAACTATATGTGACGTATGCCAAGCCAATGTTTTCCTCAACCAGTGATATCAGTTGAAAAACGACTGAGTTTTATAGGTATGATTGATGGTTAGGCTAAAACCGTGGTGGTGTGATACAGACAATGTGTGCTAACGGAATGTTATTCTCACATGTTCCCACAATTCAATTCGGCACAACAACAGAACACTAAATATCTATTTGAACATTCTATTTGATTTTTGAGATAGAATACTTTCAACACAGTTCGATACTGCGTTAGCAACACAATAGTATGTATATTTAAACATTCTATTTCGTGTCGTTTGGTGTAAATCTAAATGACACGCTCAGTGATTGCTTAATGAATATAAGTTGTAGACATATAAACAGCGGTTTGATCAATGAAAAATATACCTTAGCTTCCGTCTCGTGCCTTCAGTTGTTACAAAACCTGACACCAATCCATGAAGTATTTGAATGTCAGTTTAAGCCACTTGGCTAGGTGTAGAGTGTATGGCTTGCTTCCTCAGGATACTAAGAGGCGATAACTGAAGTGTTTTGGTGCCATAGCTCAAATTCTTTCAGCTGTATTAGCTCCTTGAAATCGTCCAAATTCTGAAAATCCTCACTAGTCTTTATGCAACTACTAGTCCTGGGTGTTCTTATATATTGTTCATTTATTACATGCCAGACGTGTTATACGCAAGTGATTAACTTTAGACACATGAAAAGAAAGTCAGAGTCATATAGTCTTCTAATGACTAAGGGATCATAATCGGATGTCATCAATATTTTCAAAAAAACTATTTAGTAAACGTCATTTTTTTCATTGAGGAGAATATCAGCAAAATAAGTAGCATGTATGAGTGAGTCAAAATAAACACATTTTCTTATAATCCTATCTAGCTAGAGCAGGTAGTGTTGCTGTTTCACTGATATTCACCAACAGTACAATTTATCTCTCAGACTCTCAAAATAATTTAAACAACCTATCCTATAATGGTAACCGCCTTCACCACCTCAAGATAGCAGCAGCCACGCATCAGATATCTGAATCGAGTTAATTGAACGAGTTCAGTGCACAAAATTTTCTCAGTTCCAGTAAACACTCTTTTTACATCGAATTTCTAGACAACACTTGCACTAATAAAAACGGCTTCTGCCCTAGAAATGAAGTTGAAATCAGGACCCTATTTACTTACTTATTATCCGCTCGTAAAACCGAAGTTCAAAGACTAAGGACGATAGTCTAATAAAGAAACCATACACACACATTTCTTTGTCGTAATTACGCAACTATGTTTTTTTCTATTTATTTCCGCTTTCACTACTTTCTACTCATGTATATTTTATCAATGCACCTAAGCGGAATATATATATATATATACAAATATATCATTCATTTTTGTGTACTCACAAATATAAGAAAGTTTAGTTAACAACAGAGTTTATTCATCTAGTTCCCGTTTAAAAGTAGTACAGAAGTATAGGTAGTATAAATGTTATTACGTCACACTGTGATTATTTTAAGTGTGTATATACTGAATTTGTTTATCCGACAACTAATTTACTGTTTAACTGAGAAAGCACCAAAAATAAAATAAAATAAATAAACATATATACGTAAACAATATTAACACAAAAGAAGACATTTAGAATAATGTTGTTCCCCTCATCATCACATTTATTCTTAAATAAAATGTAAAGTCATGCTGTAACTTTGTCCATTATTATACAGCTAATTTTATCAGATAAGAATAAAAAGAGGAAAGTGGACTGTGAGAAGGAAAAAAAACTTAAAGCTGATCAATAAACGGATGAAATACGACGTAGGATGTACATATTATACTACACTACAACAACTACTGCTACTACTCAGTAATAATAATTCTTTTTTCTTTTGTCAACAATAATAAAAAAATGCTTTTCTCTTATTGCGTCATCGTGATTATGATTGTAAGTAATGCTTCATACAGTTGCGGTAGAGTAGAGGTAGGGTAATACTACTAATGCTATTACTAGAAGACTGCAGTATCTAAGTTAAAATAATATTGCTTACTCTCTTTTCTCTATAGACGTAAATACAACTAAGGTATGTTTGTTAGTCAATCAGTCAGTCATTAGGAATATAGTATGGTAAAGTTGAACAGACAAGGAACACTCCTCACTCATAACAACGTAGTAGTCGGTAATATTGAACATAAAGACGTGCACAAATGTAGAATATGAAGTTAATTAACAAAAAGAAAGAGGAAAAAAACAAACGAAAATAGAGATAGGAGAACTGATCCAGATAGAGTGAAAAATAATTACCTGTGTTATTTTGTTGTTTTGTTTTTTCACCAAATCAAATAAAAGCATTTTCTTAAAAAAAGAAACACACATTCAAGTCAGAATACTGAAGAAAAATGTAACACTAACAAAATAAAAACTAGTTTCGAGAATATATTTCTCTCAAATGAATATTAGTGAGGAATCATCAACATAGATCCTCGTATCAGTTCAGATATAACCATTGGGACGAAAATGAGAATGAAGATAGCATTTCACAATGTAAAGAAGAAATAGAATACAGCAGAATAAAAAAGTAACGATTTATGCATCAATATAAGGAATGATTATAATTCATCATAAATGAATATGTGATAACCGTGATGATAAAAGGACTGGTTGGAAAAAAGAAATTCAAGAAATTAGCAAAAACAGAAAAAAAGTGATATTATATTAATGCAAAAAAGAAAATTACAACAACAGGAATTACATCACTGAGTGTGATCACATAAACAGTTGTCTTTTACAACTACCATGCCACATAGCATAACCAAGACAAACTGAATTTAGACAATATTATTGTTTATAAGATATTATACTCCAAAAAAAAATCAAACATGAATAGTTTTACAATATTATTAAATAAAAACAAATAGTAAATAATACCTCAGTTTTTCAAATGAAAAAACCCATCAGTCAGCAGTTTCAATACACCGAAACAGTAGTCTGTAATGATGCAAGCAGTTGATTCGAAAAGATACAATGAATGCAAATTCGATTGGCACGTTCAGTTATCAGCTTTAATCAAATAGTACCATGTAATATATATCACAAGATCAGGACATGCTGTCATAAAACAATGATCTTGGTAATCAAAATCAAAAGTTGCTACGCTCTAGATGCTGCACCATCGAAATTTCCCACATGGGTACGACCATCTACACAGTCGTCTCCATCTTCAACTTCATGTCCATCACTGTCTCCTGGAGCTAGCTCGTCCAATGCTTCCAAAAATCGAAGAGAATCAGCGAAACCAAGACCTAATTCAGACCGCAGACATTGTGTGAAATATTCTGGAGCCCAAATACGTAAACCAGCTAGCTGAGATAATAGAACGCCATCGATACCGCCAGCTATTTGGGAAGGTACATGACCTAACCCGCGGAATTTCAACCAAGAAGCAACTTTACAGGTAGACCAATTACGAACCGATGGGCGAATGGCATGACGCCAAGCACTGGTGGCTAGAGGTCGGGATATAACACTGGGCTGCAGATGAACCATATTTTGAGTAGAAATCGTAGATAGTCCAGGATGACAGGAAAAAGGAATTCCGTCCTCACGTTTAGTACCTGGAGGAAAACCAAGGGAACCACGATTACTGGCGACAGGATTTGCGTTGAAATGATTCACCGTAACATCTGAGTTTGGTATTCCAGGCACCCCTGTGTCACCAGCAATTGCCAGGTGTCTTTTGCAATCAGTAGTAGAATGATGATGTGCAGCTGCAGCTTCTGCACGCCTCTTGGCTTCAGAATAACACTCCTTTACCTGGCTAATCAAAGCATCATAGCTAGCTTCCAGATCACGTTTGCCATTGAAATCAATAGGATGCTGGGCGATGAGGCGAGATAACCAGCCAGTTAATTTGAATTTCGGTTGTAATACAACAGGGATAATAGGTTTTGCATATGTATTAGTATCAAAACTAGAAAAATACTCCACTTCCAGTCGACAGCCAGGACTTAATCGGAAGGAATCACTCATAAATGCAATCATCACCGAAGCTTGTTCAACAGACTCCATCCATTGAGCATCATTTACTGCATTACTACCACACATACTGAGTCCGGTTGCCGAAGCATCAGCAGATGATATTATTTCAGGACAGAAAGGAATACTGTTTAGCAGTATACCAGCGTCTCTTAAACGATCAGCTATGCGGTTAACAGCAATGCGATTAGATGGGGCAAAACACAGTAATACTGGGCCACATTCCATAGGTTCGCTTTTCAAACTTTTAGAAATAGGATTGTTTAGTTGCCAACTAACAGATTCCATTGCACGCGAAAGGGCTTTACACGACTGTAAAGATGTAGCATGAGTTGTCATGATTTCACTTAACCAGTTGTTCAACTGTGTTTGTAATACTCCTGTACAGACAGATGGATCAAAAACAGTATTCCATAGAATACGTACTGCCTCCTCTGCCTCTCTAATAGAAACAGGACTAGAATTGGGAAGTAAAGCAGTTTCAATTAATTCCTTGAGTAGGCTTAAACATGTCATTCCATGTTCTGTACTCTGATTATTCCCTGCTGAAATTAAATTTCCCCCAACAGATGAGGATAATAAACTAGCTTTGATAGGATCATGAACCGACAGAGCAGCCACAGCAGACAGCAGTTCAAGTACTTGAAATCCATGACATCTTCTTTTCTCAGAAACACGGGCAGAAGTAACGTATCCAAATAATATACGTAGCAAATCTATGCCACCTGTCGATGTATCAGTGATCAAATGAATTTCGGATTCATTAACAATATGTGCTAAACAAAGTGTAGAAACACAACGTAGAAATTCTTCTTCACGTTGAGCTAAGTGTAATAATGCCTGTCGAACTGATTCTGAGGCGAAATAATGTATATTACCAGGAACACGAGCTATATTGTGAATAATGGACAGACTAGCTTTAATAAGGTAGTAGACATTCTTACTGCTTAAATTCTCCAAATAAGGTTGATGGCCAATATTTAAATTGAGTAAGTTTGGTAAACCAGCAGTAGCTAAAGCAGTAGCGAATTCCGGCCAGATATCAGAAAAATTCCATGTTGTATTATAAAAGTAAAATGATGAGAACCAAATATCATCATTTTTAAACACCCCCATATTATTTAATTTCTTCATCATTTTCGATGCAAATGCTGGATAATCACAATTGGTTAAATGTTGAGCTAATTCGATTCGACATGAATGACAGTCGAAATACGCTCGACTCAGTTGTTTACCCGTTTCATACATTGATCGTAGATCTGACATATCTTCTAAACTTCGAAATACTTCCATAATTTGATCAACGAAATTTCTTGCCTCTTCTAGTGTAAAACCTTTACGACATTGTGGTATTTCCATTGGACGTTTAGATATTGGTTCTGGATGATCCATTATTGTGAGTTGAAAAAATTATTGTTCACATGCAAAAGATACTTTTATGATGAATTTTTGCACAAGAACCAATTAAATAACGAACAGAAGAATAATTAGATCTTGATATATAAATGTATCTTTAGTGTGTGTGAATTTGAACACTTGCTAGAGATAACTATTGATGACTTAAAACTCTCTGCGGCCTCTCTTGAGATTTTACGGTTGACTTGAATTAATAAGCTCGTTAAATGAATGTCTTTATGGGTATAGATAATATAGATATGTGTGTATTTACTGATCAGTAGGAGTGATTGGATTTTGTGTCAGCTAAAAATAATTAAAAAGAAAAAGAAAACAGTAACCTAAATATTTACGTCAGATTATTAAAGCCCAGACGATGATTTTCGAAAAAATTAAGTATTTTTATTAGCAGTTAGGCTGCCAAGACACAGTCTATGCATTCTACTTACATGAAGAGCTGAAACAAGAATTATGAGGAAGGATTACAACGTATGTTAGCAAGAGTTAAGAGGTATAAGCAAGTTGTGTTCTGTCAACCATAAAATGAATGCATTTACTTTGAATTTGAATTTCACGCTATTCTAATAAGAAATATAAGATTTTCCTGAGAGCAACAACTTGTTTAACAGACGTGCTGAATACATTTGTAAATCCGAAGTTAGTTGCGTTATCACTATATTGTCAGAATAATGTTAGAGATAGCTGAAATAAGGCATGCTACCAAACTATGTAATCTCTAACATTTAGTCTGAGCCTTGCAGAGAAGTGTAGTTTACCTGCCTGCAAAAGATTTTAAAATCTTACGAAGCAATGGCACAAAATCCTTTACAGTAACACGGATATGTTTATCCATCATCTTTCCTCTTTCACAGTCGAAACGCAGAAACCTGAGGAAACGAAAAAATAAAATATACATGCTTTTATAGTAAGAATACTGAGGAATCTATGCGTCAGGCTTGACACTCTTAGAACTGACGTAGGGAAAAACAAAACGAATTATTACTCAGGTCTAGAATTAAAATACAAGTTATGTTAGGCTATTGAATATAATAATGCTGATCAAATGTCAGAAATACAAAAAACAGGATGGACACGAGATTAACTGATAAATAATCAGGAAAAAAAATTAAAAAGACTTTCTGCGAACATCAGTTGAATATCAAAGCAATTATGTACGAGAAGTTATTTTATGGCCATTCCAAAACACAATTACTTAAACTTTCTTACTCTGGTATACTACATTAGTAATTGTTCAATCGAATAAATACAAATCAGGACCATTTACCTTCCTTTATAATACGAATGTTACTAAGCAATTCCAATCCTGTGTATAACTTAAACCTTTAGATGTGATGGTCGTTATATCAAGATGGGGTGATAAGACTGAGAGATGTTCAACTTTCACGTCGAAATGGCTTATCCTAAAAACGAGTTAGTGAAATCAATTAATTTTTAAAATGGTCGTTTGAGGTGTAGTAAAGCATATATATATATATATATATATATATATATATATATATATATATATATATATATATATGAGAGATTAATAACGACAGCTATTGTGTATTTAAATCCAGGAGAATAAAATAAACAGACTGAAAACGCTTAGCAGAGAATTTGAATTATTCCATTTATCTAAAGGGAAATCATCTCTGTATGTCCAGTAATAACGTACTAATATTGAAAAATTTAGCCACTGAAATACACACCACTACGTAGATAATTGTAACTCCATTTATATCGTTTATTCAACTAGGCATTATGCAACACTTTTAGTAATAATTAATAGAAGGTATATATATATATATATATATATATATGCGTGCAGTATCACGCACTCTACAAATACTGCCGAATATTTTCTCTATAAATCACTCACATGAAATGTAAATAATTTTTTTCAATTACTTTAACTTTCAAAATCACACTGCATATATGCAGTCCTATTTAAATGTCTATAGCATGTAAGCGCTATTTAAACTGTAATGATTGTAAGGTACGTTCTACTATGTGGTCTTTGCGTCCGAATCTAGAATACAGTCTTTATGGAGAACAGCAACAGAGAAATATTATTTAACTTAACATTTATGCGATAAAAGTTACAATGATTTAAAGAAAAATCAGTGCCATGGAGAATCAATTTTGCTACGTCTACATATGCATTTTATAAAAACATACGAATAAAACAATAAACCACCATCATCAACAATAACAGCAGCAATGACAACAACCACAAGCAGAAGAAGAGAAGAAAAGCCTGTATATTATTTTTATTCTCAGCCAATTTCATTTGTTGGACATACACACGTATAGAATGATTACAATATGCACTATACATATGTATATTGTACACAGTCTAGGGAGAATTAGTTTAAGAAAAGGAAATAATGAAATCAATATTCAATAAATTATTGATTTGTTTACACTCTACTTCATTACTGATATGTGCTGGTTAAGATGAATTTCTGAGTAAAATGAATACAGTTGAGTGATATTTGGGCAATTTTGCATATATTCAAATCCTTTTAATCGAATTCGCACTGCATACAGTGGTCTTCGGTTATACTCCTATCCCCTCTATATGTATACAAAAAAGAAAAAGACGATGTGCTCAGAAACAGTGAGTAATCCACACAGGACTGATATAAACATCTAATGAGTACTGTCTAACAAGTACGTTTTATTGAGAACATTGTACTATGGAAATGAAATGAAATGCAACTGCTAGACCAATATTAATATTAGTTGTAAGACTATCTATAAAAGGGTTAGAAAAAAATAATAAAATAAAAATGAAAGTCGATCCTAGAGGGAATATGAAATAATACAATCAAATATCCCGAAAAAGGATATGCAGTACGAAAACATACAGGAGTAATTAGGAAATTATTTGTTTAGTTTCAGATATAAAAAAAGACGTCTATTAACGGTCTTCAAGGATGATAACTTCTCATCAATAATAGGAGAATTACATACGTATTGAGGTAGAATCGACAGTAGACATGTTACATTTTAAGTTATCCTACAAGAATGTAGAAAACAAAAGGTGACGGGAAAGAATATTTTTAAGGAATATTAATAATGAAGACAAATTTTATAGAACAGCTAAAACTGTCCTTGTAAAATTTGGTATTTTGAAAAATTAACTGTTGTTATAATAACTGCTGACATAAAAAGACATCGGTCAAGAAGTACTGCTTAGGTGTTGTGTTATCCCTTACTTCTGGTGCTCAGAAGTAAATTTATCTATAACATAAATGTGACTATTTTTCACAAAGATATTTTCAGTACCAATGAGTATGCAATTACAAAGGTAGTATGCTTCACATTCATTTGTATGATAATACGAATTTCATCGCATTTGCCATACATTATATATATATATATATATATATATATATATATATATATATATATAAACTAATCGTACATAGTTGACTGAGAAAATCTCATAATGAAAACAATTCGTTAGTTCATTTTCACGAATTTTTATTTTTTCTACTTGAACTACCGAAGCACAACTGATTTCAAAAGAATACGTCACAAGCAAATATTATGTATAGGAGCGTTGGAAAACAGTAAGCAGTATGAAACTTCTTTGCCCTAGAGTGGATCTACGAACTGACACAGAATGAAGCTCAAAACCATAGTAGTATAGAGTGTAACCGAATACAAAAGTAGCACCTGTTACCTTATAAACTACTCAGATAAACAATGTTATAGTTCTAAAAAATGATAGAAAAAAGGCTGAGGATAAAAATTCAAACGACCGAATGAACCACCTCTAGACAGGAACAAAATGAAGACTACGAAACCTAAGAGACAATGAAGAATGATTTTGCAGGTAATGGGAGTATTAAGAGCGTTGGAATTGAGTGAATGAGGAAAAAAAGGCCTGTTATAAATAAGTGCCCCGCCACCTACAACACGTCCAGCAATACCAACAACGGAAGCAGAACTACCAGTGAACACTGACCCCCCGACGAAATCAGAAGTCCTGAATGCAATCAAGATGCTTAAAGCTGGGAAAACACCGGGACCAGATGGAATCCCAGCAGAGGCTTTGAAAATAGACCCAGAGACAACAGCGGACTTGATGACACCACTGCTGGAGAAGGTGTGGAAAGAGGGCAAAGTACCCGAGGATTGGAAGAACAGTTACTTATTCAAACTTCCAAAGAAAGGAGACTTAAGTCAATGTAAAAACTGGCGTGGAATTATGCTTCTGTCCATTCCAAGCAAGATACTAAGTCGCATCATCCTGGAGAGAATCAAACAAGCCCTAGATGAAAAACTTCGTCCGGAACAGGCTGGATTCAGGAGAAACAAATCATGTATTGATCAAATCGCCACTCTACGGATCATCATTGAACAAAGCTTGGAATGGCAGTCACCTCTCTATCTCAACTTCATCGACTTTGAAAAGGCCTTCGACAGCGTCGATCGAGAGGTCATTTGGAAACTACTTCGCTACTACGGGGTCCCATCGACAATTATACACCTCATCCAACAGTTATACGACAATGCTGCATGCCAAGTAATCCACAACGGGAAACTTACGGAAGCCTTCGAAGTGAGGACGGGAGTGAGGCAAGGCTGTCTACTATCACCAATGATCTTCCTGATTGCAATTGATTGGATAATGCGACAGACAACGGCAACCAACGAGGGAACAGGCATAAAATGGACTGACACAAAAGACTTGGAGGATCTGGATTTCGCCGATGATATATGTCTGATTTCCCATAAACTGGAAGATATGCAAGTGAAAAGTAACAAGTTGGCAGAAGAAGCATCAAAGATAGGACTTCACGTGAACATAGATAAAACAGAGATAATGAAGATTCCTAGCCAACATCAACAACACCAACAGACCACAATAAGCATAAATGGGAAGAACCTGAAAGAAACAACCTCCTTCACCTACCTGGGAAGCATCGTCTCAACTACAGGCGGAACTGACGAGGACATCAAAGCCAGAATCGGAAAAGCAAGACAAGCTTTCATTACTCTCAAATCTGTGTGGAGGTCAACAGCAATCAGCATCAAAAATAAGATCCGGATTTTCAACTCCAATGTGAAGTCAGTGCTACTATACGGATCAGAGACTTGGCGAGTCATAAAGAGCATCTCAAACAAACTTCAAACCTTCATTAACAACTGTCTCCGCTCAATACTCAAGATCAGATGGCCAGAAAAGATCAGCAACAGGGATCTCTGGGAGCGAACCAATCAGGAACCGATTGTGAAACAAATAGGCAGAAAGAAATGGAGATGGATTGGCCATACGCTGAGGAAACCATCAAGTGACATCACTAGACAAGCCCTCGAGTGGAACCCGAAAGGGAGGCGGCGAGTTGGTCGTCCAAGGGTGACTTGGAGGAGGTCATGCGAGGAGGAGATGAAAGCATGTGGACAGACCTGGAGCAGGGTGAAAAAGTTGTCAGAAAACCGAAGTCAATGGAGGTGCGCAGCTGAAGCCCTATGTTCCTCTAGGAACTAAAGGATACAATAATAATAATAACACATTAGTTGCTAAAAGAAAGATGTATACGAAATGTGTGGAAACAAGTAATATTTGTTATTTAGAAGTGTGAAGTGGAGTTGTAACTCCTTTCTTAATACTGTTTATATCAGTAAATCAAATCACTTCGAAAGTGTATCAGTATAAATTTGTAACTGCTTTTCCAGTGGACCTTAATCTATACAGTCTAATACCAAAAGCAACATGATATGCAAATTAATATAGAAATGTTAATCGTGACCTGATAGCAAACATATGCATATGTATATAGTAATAAAACAAAAGGGATAGTCTTATTAAAACATACATAAAACACTTTTATGACATCCCAGAAATGACAAGAAAGTATTCAGCACATTAAATTTCGAGTAATAAGCATCACAGGTAAACATGTGACAAATTTCACGAAAAAACAGATCCATACACACATGCCTAGAGCTGATAAATGCAAATCACCGAAGAAAACACTAAAAAAGCTACGTGGTGTAGGCTATGAATGCATAATTTATTCATGGGTATCCCTAAAAACTAAATTAATTAGCGAAGGGTAATGGTCAATGTACACCAGACAGGCTGACAGAAATTTCGTAAATTTAGTTACGGCTGTAAATTTAAACATGGAAACAATAACAACGATTGCACAAAAGTATGACATCGTTTTCATCTAACTGGATACTTTCAGCTCCATACAGCCTAAATAAGTATTCACTCGAAATATTAACATTAACAAACGCATATTCGTTGTATTTCAGCTGTTCAAGGACTAAATAAGCGAAGTCTCACTATCGACATCTCTTCATCATATGACAATAGGATAAATACAATAACTCTTGCGAGATAGTGTTAAGTATGAGATACTATGATACCTTACTGAAAATGCGATCTACTTTTTGGAGAGCTTAAACGTTGGTAAATATTACTGTGGGTTGAAAATATGCGTGTGTCAGATAAAACTATGCAGGATTTAATATACACACAAATTTAAGGTCATAATGAATAAAGCTGTAGTAATCAGTGTGGCCTGTTAAACACGATAGAATAAGTAAAGCAGCATCGTTGTGAATCGAAGATATGTTACGCATACCAAAGCATTGGCTTCTTCAACTGGTAATGCGGTCATATCAAAATGTAGCACCAACTTATCGAACTACTTCATTCAGTCTAAAACACATAGAGAGGACGTGTAATTTGCCTGACTACGGATGTCACAAATCAATGGTTAGCAGTATCTTACTTACCTAGCTCATCCGCGTAGATATATTTACTAATTACCATCACTATATGCTCTTATGTATTCACTGTTGCATTATTCCACAGTTTTGTATACTAATTTAAAATTTACTTATTTGAACTGATACCGGTTTCTTAAAAACTTCAGCGATTCCGAAAATGAAGTGTTAAGCTATATTATTTCTACTTATAAAAAAAGGCAGTGACGTTGTCTAGCTCTTAATTATTGTAGCCTAATGAACCAATTCAGTCAACTTTGTTTAACACGAACTGATATACGAAGCACATAGAAAGTTACTATTTGTACAGTCAATATAATAAAACAGAGATGATTATGAATTTAATTCAGGAACCACGTAGAATGTGATATATATATATAAAGTTTGACAATGGAGACATACAAATTTCAATAATACTATAATCATTTACATCGATAGATAAATGTCTTGATTGCAATCTGGGATTCAGATATCCTTATCATACAATTAACAATAAGTTGATTAGTGAACTATCGAAAAGTTGGACACAAAAAAATATCATCTGCACCAGTACAGCAGTAGTTCAGATAGCAGAAACGGGTGAGTAAATAGAACAAATCTCGATGGTCTAATCAGGTTTTAGGAGGGTCAGCATCACAGCAATAGTATTGAAAACAGGAATATAATCATTAATCATAGGATTATTCCACTGAATACTTTATGACGATGAATAATTTATAATTCATAGCAAATTTAGTAGTTACTACTATTCTTTTTCTTAAAGTAGAAGAAATATATAAGCAGTGATAGGCAAAGATTGAAATCATATGAGCGAAATGGGTAGTTATAAATTTTATATCACGTGACTCGTCTATGCAGTGGCGTAATGACTACTTTATACTAAGGCGTTCACAAGATCTTTCCTAAGCACCTTCGACTTTAACTGTTAGTCTCACATTGGAAATTCTGCTGGGACAAACTAGTGAAAGATTCAGGGGATAACGAATCTTCAATACATAATCAACACATACAAAGAAAAGGTTATAAATGAACTTAAAATCCTAAATATGACATATATTGTCTTTCCATGTATATGTATATATATATATATATATATATATATATATATATATATATATATATATATATATATTAGACGGCAATGAGTGACCTGAGATGTGATACAACAATAAACACTTCCTTCCTACGAAGCAAAGAAGGGAATACGCTAAACAATGCATTGAATTTCAGTACAAGAAGAAGAATAATAAAAGGCAGTAGTAGACATATGTGAAAAGAATTTTCACACTAAGAGGATTATTGTCAACTGAGAAAACATAAAAGGTTTACGTTATGTTATGTTGTCAGCGTGTAAAAATCCTGACAAACTTTCCAGTTCTATCCCCATTAAACAGCTATGTAGTGAAAACTCAGAAAATTTTGAGGCAGAAAAATAATAATAGTAACAGTAATATTCATCATCCTAGTAATATTCATAATAATAGGAAGAACAGGGGATAGATGACTGGGGAAGAATAAGTTGTTAGCTGTAGAAATTTTAACTGGTAGATGTAGTTATTAGAAATAACCAATGAAAATCAATGGGATGAAAAGTAAAAACGGCAATATACAGGCTAAAAATGATCGATCGATCAATTCGCCCGAAAAACTTAATCAATAATTGTTAGTTAGCTTTGGCTAGTTTAGCTGACCAGTAAATAGAAAATCAAAGTAAGATTAATTTGGCAAAACTCTGAAAATTCTGTAAGCATAATTCCAGTGTCACACACAAGACAAACGAAAGAAATGGCTTGAAGAATGGAGAAAAAAAAGGAAGGTATAGTATTTCAGCCTATAGACTTATGCATGCATGCATCTGTTTATATTTCTAGACCAGAATACAATGCATTTAAGAAGAAAGTAAATGGTAATTTTTTGGGTTGGATAAGGATAAAAATAGAAAACATTTTACAATAAAAGTTCAGTTTTATATGAACACTGATCTTCTGTTTTCCTAATCAAGCTTGTGCGTAAGTAAGACAATACCTTGCTTACCTACCCTAGCAACAAATGGATAGATGTATGTGTTCTTCGTATTCATTGCATCACAAAATAAATTATATACACGATTTTCAAGCATGAAGGTTATTCAGTATTTCAAATAAATGTTAACAGACTAGAATGTGAAGTTTTGCCAATAGGAAAAGTAATGTGCTTTTTTATAACAAATCAGTATTTAATACAAAGTAGGTAGAACACAAAAACGAAAAATAAAATTTTCAGGCTAATGAAAAAAGTAATTTTGAAGTTTACTGAATCTAGAATTTCTAAGACAATTTATTAAATAATTAAACCGATATTTTCTGTATATTTCTTTCATTAAAGTACCTTGGCAACAGGTATTTTAGCTGTCGTATTGTTTACAAAAACTATAACATTTGTGTATTTAAATCAAACGACTATGTGCAGAAAAAAATAGCGATTAACCCGAAATAGAAACAGAAGTATTTTCAATACACTATTGCTTTAATTGCCTTTTTTTTGTTGTTACGTAGCATCTTTCTTCCCATATCCATATTAGGTTGATTAGTTTGTTTTAGAGTTAAATTTTCGATGTCTAAACTGTAACCGATGCTGCCTTTCAGTTTGTTGACTTGTTAACTGTTCAGTACGCTTAAATTTCATTTCATGAGAAGATTTAATATTTCTCTCCAATCTTATCCCTTCGGCTTAATATAACAGTTCTTGTGATTATTACTGAAAGGAAAATACTGCTTCAACAGCACATCTGCATTTTATTCCGTTCTCCGAAGGTCTATTTAGCCTAACCTACGATGATCCACAAGTCCTCACCTCCTCCTCACACGGCCTTCTCCATATCACTTTCAGAAGCACGCCAAACTCGTCGTTTCGCATTCGGCTTCCACACGAGCAATGCTCTGGCGTGCGGTGTCTTATCGGTCCAACGTATTCATGTCTTCGCGCTACAGATGCACAGTCTGACGCTCAATCCAGTCCACTACAATCATTAATATCATCAGTTATGAAAGGAAGATAGCCTTGTCTTGCTCCTGTATTCCCTTCAAAGGCTTCCCACAGTTTTTCGTTGTGAATTACTGGAAATGTACAATGATCATTATTAGGTGTTGAATAATGAGCAGATGAAAATTCGGGGCATACCGTAGTGTTGAACTAGCTTCCAAAATTCATCGCAGTTAACATTATCGAAGGTCATTTTAAAGTCGATCAGGTTGAGGTACAGAGTAACTTCTATTCTATGCTCTGTCCGCTGCTGCTGCTGATGGTGATGATGATGAGTAGAGCTGCAATTCCATCAGCAAATGATCCACTTTCCCTAAATCTGGCTTGTTCTGGGCTAAGTCCTGCATCCAGTGCATCTTTTTGTCTCTCTACTTCTTGTGATACGGTGTTCTTATTTCACGTAATCAACTGAGAAAATCTACAGAAATCCACTCTTTTATACGGTTTTTTTCAAATATTTATTAGTCCACAAATTTGTATACTGAAATAAAAATGCTTGCGAACACCATTTATTGCAAATCAGTCAATTTCCCCTTGTACAATTTCGACACAGTGCTGTCAAAATAACTCTTTTCCTTTAAAAAAAAATTGTTTACTTACCTCCAGTATAAGTGACTTTATTCGAAACCAAAACATCGGCCTGTAATGGAGTCATTTGTAGATAATGTGAATCGGGATTTTTCTAGTTTGGAAACAAAACAAAAAACTAAGTCACTTTATACAATAAATGATATATTATCAGGACACGTCAATCGTAGGGGGGGGGTCAGTTATCAGCAAACCTGATATGCATAACACATTAGACCTTAAACCTTACAAACATATGGGGCGCTGGAGATACTGAGTTAGTTGGATACATTCTTTATTTATCGATTAAAGGAAAACTGATGAACAATACTTTTTTTCAAATACTTGCCAGATATTTTGATATAGGCTGTGAAATATTCAAAAAGAGTTAGACTTATAACTGACTGTTCAACATTACAATGAAATGCATTACTTACAGTGAACTCGGTATGTAAAACTGGACCCATTGCTTCATAGACAACTTGATCTACTAATGGATATGTTTGACAAAGATACTAAAAAAATGTATAAAAGAAAAGCGTATTGTTTTATTATTACTACTACTAGTTGATTGAATATCAACAGCTTAATACACAGAGCTATAGTTCGTTGGTTTTGGTACCCGCCTATTATTACTGAGAAAAAATATAATCTCCAACTTATTGATGTGATTAGCGCGATAGAAATAGCATTATACATGAAATGTATTATAAGCTACGCTTTATGTTGGATAGAGCATACAGGCACAGAATTTTATAATTCACAGCTAAACCTTTTAAGAAAACAATTTTCGTCCAGTTTAGAAATTATTTCTTATTCTTTGCGTAAAATATTTGCAGATGCATTCAGCAAACGAACAGATTTTAACATGACAATATTACTCAGATGAATTTCAATGCTAAGTTAGCCCATGTTTAAGAGACTAAAAAACAGAGAAGTCAAAAAGGTTTTCTTTAAATGAGCAATTGTTCAATAGGTTTTTTTGATCTTTACAACTTTAAATGTCGAATTTCTTAACTGCAGAAATATATAGCCTCGCATATTTGTGGACACTATAGATAATACTGAAACAGACTGGTTCAACGTTATCCCTTAAGTACAAATGTTTGTCTATAGACTATTAGACAACACAACAGAGCGAAGATAGGAAATTAACAGGAAAGAAGGTAAAACAAAATAAGAGAGGAGATTAAGGGAGGAAACAACAACTAGTAAATCCAGGGGGATAGATGTTTCAAATTTGCTTTTCAAGTTGGTTTTTTTTTGAGCTAATCAGATATGGCTTACAGTTAGTCGTCATTTGCATAACTTTATCTAAGCCAATCAGCATTAAGAATGGTGGTTGAATCTTTATGGATATCAGAATTTACACAGAGGCATACACTAATTAAAAGTATAAGTGAAAATGCAAAAGAAACATACACTACCAATGATTTGTCTTACCTCCAAAGCCAAACTGGCCTGTCTTTGACTATCTGGGAATTCAAGATTACCCATGGCATATAAAAGACTTGATACAGCGCCCATCTACAAAATGAATGAATAAGGAAGAGTTCAAATATTACAAAGGTTTACTGGATAAAAAAGTGTGACAATTTTAGAAGACAGAAAGATTGAGCGAAGAAATATTTACTTTTCAATTCCTTTGACAATTTTGTTCGCAATGTCAATAAAGATTTGAACAAAATGTAAGACTAATGAATGCATATAAATATACCTGTGCCTACCCTAAAAAAATTTAATCAATTCAGGATATAACATGCACACATATAATCGCCTTATCACATAAAAACCGACGGAGAAATAAAATCATGCGGTTTTGCCAAATTGACTGAAGTAAACCAATTTTCACTTCTGCTTTCCTCATAAAAGAAGTTTATGATTGTGGGTCAACCCCGATAAACAGTGCACCGACCTAATTATGCGACTTTTTTTTTACTCAGTTTACAATGTTTTCTAATCTTCATTTAAGCAGTGCTCAGCACTCTGCCTTTCCGTACGTTTCCAAAAGATGTGTTGTTCGTACACTACTAGCTGAAAACAAATCTCTAACTTTTGAACAAAGCAAGAACTACAGTTTTAGCAGAATAAAGTGGTACCATCTTTTATTTCGTTGCCTTCTCGTCAGCTGCTTACATGGCAAAGACATTATTAAATATATCTACAACAACAATTTTAACATACTTGCACAGAGTTAAGTTTAAACAAAAATCAATCGATCAATATACGCATACACTAAAAATATATACATATATAAATATGCAATATTAACCACTATTCCGAACAATAATAATCAAACACAATGGAAACTTTTAGCATTTCACATTCGGAGGGGTGAAATTATCCAGTTACCAGGGCAAAGAAAGGCTGATAACCGCTTCTTTCTGGACGCATAAATCAGGTTTCAGGCGCTTGATGGAAATGGCTTCAGCAAACTTAAGGAGAATTGAGCTATTTTGCTTATTGATAATTTTGAACGACTTTTCGACGTCCACCTCATGACCCGTGTCGAGAAGATGCCTGGTGATGGCACTGTTTAAAGCATTTGTTCCCTTTAGACGTAAGCTTTTTGGTACATGTTCAGAAAATCGTAGATATGCCCTTCTTTCTGTCCTTCCAATGTAACTGCTCCCGCAGATACATGTAAATTTGTATACACAGTTGGAGGTAACATGAGAAGGATATCTATCGATTTTTGATTGCACCAAAGAGCAAGTTGTTCGATAGACGGGAACGAGCTTAGCTGCAGGATACGCTATGGCTAGTGATGTACTCAGCCTTCTGTTGATCATCGCTGCAATATTTTCACCTTTATAATCAAGCTGAAGGTAGACTGGCTTTTTTTCCACTGTGATTTGTTTTACATTTGTGACTTCAGATCTTCCATACTTGTTGATGAACCTTTGAGGATACCCATTTCTCTTCAATATATTTTCAAAGAACTCAAACTCCTCCTCTAGTTTCTCTTTAGAGCATATTCTCCTCGCTCTATAGTACAAAGTTTTGACTAGACCACGTTTAAAGCTATGTGGACAAAAGCTATTAAAATGCAAGTATTGTCCTTTCCATATGGGCTTTCGATAAATTGACTTTTGAAGACTACCGTCTTCTAGGCGTTCCATGGCTATGTCGAGGAAGTGAAACTTTCCGTCACTTTCGTGTTCCATAGTGAAGTCAATATTGGCGTGTGCACCATTGAATAATCTTAGTAAGTGTGAAGCATGACTTTTATTTTTGCACACTATAAATGTGTCATCAACATAACGACAGTAGGAAGATGTTTCGTCGATTGCATGCTTCAGCTTTGTTCTTTCAAGGTTAGACATGAATATATCTGCTAAAACAGGGCTAAGTGGACTGCCCATAGCTACACCATCTATTTGGCGGTAAAAGGTGTTGTCAAATAGGAATTGCACATCCATGGTGCACATAAGCAGTAGGCGTTTGAATTCAGACTCTGGGAGTGGGAGAAGATCGGACTGCTGACAGATGATTTCAATGGTTTCATTGACTGGAATCATTGTGAAAAGAGAGGTTACATCAAATGACACCATGAAGTTATTTAGAACGTTCATGTGATTCACACTTTCAGAGAAATGAAATGAGTCTTTCACCGTGTGCACGCCTAGCCGTTGACGAATAGGTTCCAACTTCTCCGCAAGCCAACGTGCCACCTTATGTTGGGGCGAGTTGATCATCGAAAGTATGGGTCTCAGGGGGGCTTGTTCTTTGTGTATCTTCGGAAGGCCATACATGTGTGGCAAGCGGGACCCTCGGGTTTCAAATCATTGTACGTGTTGTTGTCAATCAATTTCTTCTTTAGGAGATCTCTCAAGGCGTTTGTGATACGTTTTTCGACTGCATCTGTCTTATCTTTCTGGCAACTGTCAACTTTAAATCTCAACGGGTCATTTAGCACAGCTTTCATCTTTGCGATGTAGTCCTCTTTGTCCATCAGCACCACACCTGAGCCCTTGTCAAGCCTCAATATAACAATTTTGTCATTATTCTTGAGAGCTTTCAATGCTCTTAGATGCTCTTCAGAAAAGATAGATATCCTTCTCATGTTACCTCCAACTGTGTATACAAATTTACATGTATCTGCGGGAGCAGTTACATTGGAAGGACAGAAAGAAGGGCATATCTACGATTTTCTGAACATGTACCAAAAAGCTTACGTCTAAAGGGAACAAATGCTTTAAACAGTGCCATCACCAGGCATCATCTCGACACGGGTCATGAGGTGGACGTCGAAAAGTCGTTCAAAATTATCAATAAGCAAAATAGCTCAATTCTCCTTAAGTTTGCTGAAGCCATTTCCATCAAGCGCCTGAAACCTGATTTATGCGTCCAGAAAGAAGCGGTTATCAGCCTTTCTTTGCCCTGGTAACTGGATAATTTCACCCCTCCGAATGTGAAATGCTAAAAGTTTCCATTGTGTTTGATTATTATTGTTCGGAATAGTGGTTAATATTGCATATTTATATATGTATATATTTTTAGTGTATGCGTATATTGACCGATTGATTTTTGTTTAAACTTAACTCTGTGCAAGTATGTTAAAATTGTTGTTGTAGATATATTTAATAATGTCTTTGCCATGTAAGCAGCTGACGAGAAGGCAACGAAACAAAAGATGGTACTATTTTATTCTGCTAAAACTGTAGTTCTAGCTTTGTTCAAATTCATTAAGGGGAATAAATGTATGAAGTCTCTAACTATTCAAACTATCCGTTGGTATTTTATGAAGTTTCACCTAATATTTTAATTCGTTTGTTGCATTACGTAAAAGGAGCAGGTATTTGTTAGTAAGCAGTGCACTTAGTAACCTGTCAGACAGACGCCTTTATTTTAGTTTACAATGAATCTATGGTCTGTTGTTAAGCAAAAAATATCACCTTTGTTTTTTTTCTGAAAACCTCTCTATTTCATTATCTGCGCAACATGTATTCACTGAAAGCATGTCTTTCAGTATCAGCAGAGGATATATGCAAGTACAATACCAAACTGTCTAAATAATATATTGTTTGACATTAACTTGTGTGGTCAAATTTTATTACAAATAATTAGTGTTTTTTTTTATTCTGTTTACTTGATATTAGACAAAACGCCCCAAAAATATAAGAATCTAATTGTTTTGTCATGCGTTGATGCCATAGTCTAAAAATTACAGATAGTTTTATGAAATAATTACTTGTTTGACACTTTTTGTTAAGAGTATTTAAATACAGGGGTATTAATATGTATATATATATGGAGACGGAAAGAGACGGACAAGAGAGATGGAGATCCAAAACGCAACTCATTGGACGAGGCATTTGACTTTCACAGCCGATGGTTTGGAGGTTCAGACTATGAACTGCAAACTGTGACGTCCACAAGTAGTTGATGTTATTATTATTCATCCATGAGGTAGGCACAAAGTGAGCGTCAAATTATCTTTCATGCAACAACACAACAATAAAAGAAGAAAGAGAAATTAAGCAATGACATAGAAAACAGGTGATAATTCTCATAAAGTGCATACGACTGAGTATTTGTCATTTTAGATAGCTTTGATAGTGAAAGAAGAAAGCAGAAAGTGACTTGGTTTCCATTGATTTGAATTAGACCTACATCTGGAATGTCAAACTATTGAATTGCATAATTGAAGTGATGAGCTTCAACAGGGAAATTACGGTACAGGAGAAGATACTATTTGACTAAACGCAAAACTGTCTCTATTCACATAGTGGAAATTATTGAAATGACCATATGTTAACTTTACAACAAAGTCGAAAGCAAGCAAACAGGCAGTTATATACAATTCACTTCAACAATTTTCTAAACATAGGATCAATCCAAAGAAGTTGCTGTTTAACTTACAGACCTCGAATTTAATATATGTGTAAAACTTGGGCACTGTGGTAGTAAGTAATTCCATATTAGTTTGTTTATTAGATGTATCACAAAGTGAAACATTATTCAAGTGATGGTTTGTAGGGATTTGATTAGTTTCAGGATTTCATCATGAGCTGACAAACCATCACTTGAATACCAATGAGATGCTCACTGGCGACTGGCCCTATTCAGTTAGGTAGTTACCTGGGTTCCAGTGGGAAGTCGTGACCAGTAGGGTGCAGCTGGTCGGGTGTGAGGACAAACACTCGATGAAGACATTGGCTAGCGGTTGCGCTATGTCGTGAATTGGCAGAAGTTAGAATTCAAGGACCATTGGATCGGGTCCCAGTGGCTTAATGGTATACGAGCTCGCCTTGTAACCGGAAGGTCCTGGGTTCGAATCCCGGTGGGTGCGTACTGCTGAAGAGTCCCAAACTAGGACGAAACAGCTGTCCAGTACTCCCAGGTTTTCCAATGGTTCTCTTACTAATGTCAGCTCATGATGAAATCCTGAAACATTATTATTCACTTGATACAATACTCTTTCATTGTGCGATACATCTAATAAACAAACTAATATGGAAAGACTTCGAACTTATTCAAACTTATGTCATCATCAGTCAGAATTACATTGTTCATAATAGTTGTGGAAACAGTCTTATATTATAGGTAACTCCAAATTAATTTTCGAAATTATACAATGCGGTTCACTGAAATTAAGTGTATCATAGACAACAGAATCTTATACAGTGACTGATAAGATTATTCTTTTAAAGAAACCACTGTGAAGAACAAACAACGGTATATGTATATATACTTACCTTGATTATTTTTATTGCGACTGTTGGGGAATCCTGGGCGAGGATGCTGTAAAAAGGTGAGTAAAGATGGTGAAGGTATACGACATGTTTATTATATATATATCCATCTAAGCCCTTAGAAAATGCGAAAAATGATGGTACATCCCAGTGTATTTACCAATTTGAATGTACTTGTAGCCACACAGACATAGGGAAGACTCATCGGTCTCTGCAAGTAAGGGCTTCAGGGCATATTCCCAAATGGTTCCATAAGCAAATAGATACTCCAGGACTCATTAATGATGAGAACAGGAAGCCTACCTCCTCTACTGCAAAACATATTACAGAGATAGGACATAAAATTGGTGTTTATACACCTTTTAAACCCATCTGTAGAACGTGTTTGGGGCGTGTCCTAAAGTTTGTGGAATCCCCAAATGGCAATCAGAAAGTTTAAGCCACCTCTATGTATTGAAAAACTATTCGTCATAACAATAAGCCTTCCTTGGTAAACTTTGTTTTGATACCAGGGTAGATGTACTATTACCTCTTTTATTTGGTTTAATGATCTTCATTGCTATTTTGACCTTCAATATATCCCTTTAACTTGACCTTAGTCTATTTCCTCACCTCTTAACTCTATCAATTTCATATATATTCCTATGACAAGTCCGTATATGATCAGATTGTTCGAAATGTGTTGCGCAAATACATCATACGATTCAGACAAATTACGTCTTTTTATTGCTTTGTCTAAATTCGTAAAGAGAACTAATTATTTCAAATGTTCCAATAGTTTAAACACAAAACAGAAACATCAAAAGTATGATTTTACTTGGTTGGTTCAATAAAGTTAATCAACGGTAAATTCGATAAAACACTAACAACTAACATCTGATACTCTATATGAAAGCGGTAGCTGCCATGAGTCAGTAGTTTAGTGCATAAGTCCTTGACGTTTGAGAAGAAGGATACTGGGTTTTAGTTCCACTCGAAATATCATCAACTCTTTGGGGATGTAGGCACATCAAAATGGAGAGTTCCAAATAGAACTAAACGCTAATCGTAAGCTCCACTGTTAGCCACCACCAACCAAGCAGCATGTTAGTCTCAAGGCATCTTCGAATTGTCCACAGTGGTGGCCGACATGTCAACGGAGACCAAGCATTTTAGTCTTATGAAATCAAAAATAACTTCAACAGTGAAAAAAACACGTAGACACAAAATGTCTGGGACATTGATATTGTATTTAATCAATATGTATATTGAGTTTATGAAAAAAAACAGGAAATCATTTTTGACACGTATTTTCGAAAAAATATATTATCTAGCTACTTTGTAACACTTCGTGGTATTAATGCAAGGACAAGTTTCGAAAAACAAGGCAAAATGTAATCATAACAAAACACTAATATGAATACGCAGAAAGAATTACTTCATCTTAACAAGTATTTTTTATACCAAACAGATAACAACATCTGCTGAGATACCTCGGTGAAGGGAAGATAAAAGACTTCAATATAGATGACGAAGACTACAATGACTGTCGTGCAGTACCGAAGAACACGAACGTCCCAATGTCTCTTGAAACTCTGGCAGATGTTACTGAGAATTGATATAACCTACTTTAGGCAATAATATATCATTAATACAAAAGGAACTAAGAGAATGTCATCCATAATAAGTAAGACCATTAAGTGAGCAGTAGATAATCTACCTGAATGTTTAGACTAAAGGAAGAAAAGTCAATTTTTCAATGTCGCGCTGCAGGGATTTCAGGGGAAATTTCACCATGAAATGGCGTTAGTTAGAGGAACATCTATAAGCAGGAATAAATGGACAACTGTTTCGTCCCAGTCTAGAGTTTTCCACTAGTAAGCATGAATAAACCCACCGGGGAATGACCCCGCTACCTCTAGACCATGAGTTTAGGCCGTTGACCATTCAGTCACGTGGACAGAACTTGACCATCCAAGAATACCAGCTCCTATCGAATCGCGATAACCAACTGTTAGGACAGAAAACATATCGTTGTTAGCTGTAAAGTTATGATTGATGTAATCAATCAGATAATGATTGCCTGTTTTTGGCTTAAACTTCCGTGAATCTATAGACGATATGAATATATATATATATATATATATATATATATATATATATATATATATATATAGGGTATTTTTGATAATAAAGTTTGTGCCTACGTTGGTGTGGAGGAGTATTTCAAAGTGATCGGTTGACTACAGTATCGTGAATGGAGGTTCAAGATAAACAACAGCAACAAAATCACTAACACTCCTTTACAACAATAACTCCACTGAAAACCAGTGTCATCAGCGATTACCTGCCTTGGGGTCATGAATCCGCACTCCCCGAGTCTCAAAGCCGGACAGACAGCCGTCTAGAATAGATGAGGAATGTGATATCTATGCTGAAACCAGCAGATTCTACTAACGAAGTTGAAGTGGGGAAAATTCACATAAATGGTTGATATTCTTGATGGTGTAAGCAACCGTAAGGGTCTGGTGTTAAATCAATTAATTATTTATTGTCAGTGTATGAAAACGCACATTGCAAATAGTACTTGGGACAGCTGATCATTTAGGCGAGCGTTAAATCTTCCAGTTTTAACCAATGTTATGTATTCAACTCCAGTGGAAGTGTGAAGAATCAAGTCGCATATTTATCCCTTTTCAAGTAGAGTGAAATCGTAATTCAGAATGCAAACACATGCAAAGATATTGAGTTGTAAGTAAAAAAAGAATGTTCAATAACACAAAGGTGAACTGCATTTTGAGTCAACCTGTTACCATATTTGAAAGCATACAGTTATCTACCGGATCTAAAAAACATGTCTTAACATGACAGAAATGCATAAATTAACCATTCTATCAAATTCTATTCAGTAGAAATAAAAACCAAAATTAGTGATACATAAAGCCAGTAATCAAAGTATAACACCCATAAACTAGTGATAATAAATATCCCTCTGTGCTTGTTTCAAGTGCACTTATTGCTTTTTTCTCTTTCAAATAAAAGAACAGTTTACGGTTGGTGAAGCAAAGATATCAATAAACATTATAGTAATGTGTAATTGAAATAAAAGATTGAAAACTGTGTTCAATCAAATTACACATATATGCACATGCATACACATACACAAATAGAGAAATTTACTAGATTAATTGGCTGTAGATAGGATATTACAATTCAGTATGCACTGAATATACATTCCAAAAAAAATATTTACACTTTAACAGAGTCAGGTGTCACCCAGGTAGGAGACATAAAGGAGTTGGTAAACTAGAGTGTGCAGCTGATTTTCTTCTTTTTTAAAAACTTTTTCATCATTAATCCCTTCTTTGATAACAAATTAAAGCCTACTTATTGCTATACAAGTTGAATGCAGCTGTCAGATGTCAAGATTTATGTGATACAAAGTATTTTCAAAATCTGTTAGCTACCTACTCCTATTTATGAAATCTAGAAGTCAGACTTTTATACATCCTACCATGATAGACTGTTAATAAATAAGGAAAGTATAAACAAGGCGAAAAGCTTAACCACTGCTTTTAGGATAACATTAATGATGAAAACTGTATAATCCTTTTTACAAATAATCCCTTTCCTCAGGTCTACCAGATTCATTAATTTTGTTATACCTGACCAAATGGAAGATTCAGGAGGAATCAATTAATTTTACGGAAATCCTTACATCATAAATCAAAGTTGAAGACAGTCAGTCAAATCTGAAACTCCTCACAGGTGTGTATCAACTATCTCACATTTAATCGGGTAGAAATGCACACAACAGGTGTAACATTGATATAAGAATAAAACTTGTGCACTGTGGTAGAGTATAATTCCATTATGAGTAAATTTTGTTTTGATAAAGTCTCACAGTGTTATACAGTAATGTTTACTGATGACGTATCGAGCACAATTTATTGTGGCTCATAATCATATCAAGGTAATCACACGACTTCCTAACTTCATTTATATAGTTCCATTGTTTTTCTCTTGATTTTCACTTGATTTGATTGGTAATAGTATTTTCCATATTTCAAGTATGAATGATGAATCATTGTTCATCGAGTCTACACCCAAAACATTCAATAGGAGTGATTCATCACTCATACCTGAACTATGGAAAGTATTACTACCAATCAAATTAATTGAAAATCAAGTGAAAAATAATGGAACTATATAAATAAAGTTAGGAAATCGTGTGATTACCTTGATATGATTATGAACCACAATAAATTGTGCTCGATACGTCATCAGTAAACATTACTGTATAACACTGTGAGACTTTATCAAAACAAAATTTACCCATAATGGAACAGGTGTAACAATTTGAATTATTACTCATCACTTCTAAACAACGGTGACAAAGACCAGTAGTAAAGCAACTCTGAAAAATAACGAAAACTTTATCAACTAAAGCATACTTTATCGAATATTTAGAAATAAACATGGTAAGATTGTGAATAGTGAACGACCAACATGTCATCCTAGCATTGATTTAACTTACTGTAAACATTTTGCTGCAGCTGCTTGTTGAACAAATACCGGCAGTGGATGATAGTCTAGCTCTGAATCCGAGGACTTATTTGTTTTCTTTTTGTTCTTCTTCTTCTTACCATTTGCACTCGCACTAAAACGTTTGGTACTAGAATCATATGTATGATAACTTCTGGTGTCAGACGTCTTCGATTCTGATGGTTTCCCTTTCTTTATTGATGTTTTACCAGTATTACTAGATTTTAATTCGCTTGTACTGCCTGTGATGCTGGGAGAACTTGAGGCTAGGGCAGAAAAACAACAGCTGTTAGTTTGAAAAAGCAGAAAATTAAGAAATCGAGATTTATTCCAAAACAGTGCAATGGATATCATATATACGTATATGATAAATCAATCAGTTACTCAAAATCCCATATGATTGCTAGTTATCCTTAAAGCGTCTACAGTGTCGCACTGTTATGTTATACATATCAAGTATATGCACAAATAATGAATAACACTTTATAGCCCATGATCAAACTTTTCGGATTGTTATCACTCTTGTGAAACATGAGTTATGTTTGACAAACTTATCTTTGTACAAGTTTATTACTCTTCAATCGAATATTTGTAGAAATGAATTACAATAAAATGTAACTGATATGTATTCAAAACCAGTAAACCGGATATCTGAAAATTTTTGCACACACAAAAATTGCCTGGTAAATTATCATTATTATTTGTATTGTAATGGTGTAGAGTTATTAATGTGGTTATGTAGTTTTAAGTGATACTCTGAATATGCGAGTTAAGTAAGCGATGCAGTAACTGGATAGAAAAATGTGCAGTCATGATGCATCATAATTCAATCTGTATCTGTTTCCCGAAGGTTGGGTTCTTTTCACCATAGGGTATAAGAAACTCTGAAATCTACACTTTTTACTGTATGATTGTTAGACAGACCGTTATTTGAATTCTGTAGGACGGAAATACATTCATGTGAATCTATCGTTTCAACGGCAACCAATATAACTTACTAATACTAAATGATGTAAATCAACTGATTGACTGTGATATTTTGCACTACTCTTTAGACATTCACACAGTGCTTATTTAAGCGCGCTGCTAAACAGATGAATAACTGAACATATTGTTTAATTTGTTTCATGAAAACACAGTGTACACCGTTGAATCAAGTTTTTTGGTAGGTTTATTTCTCAGTTTAGAAAAAATACCATTTTATTGTAAACTCAATTGAACTAATCGTAAGCTTGCGTAATTTTTGAGTATTCAGTATGTTTGCATCAGTGTATTTACTAATACATATAACAAATATATATATATATATATATATATATATATGATGTATACAATTTTATTTCAAATTAAAAAAGTCCCATTAAGAACCCTTCCTCATCTTTTTACTTGCATTACTCACTTAAACTACCAATTTTCTCAGATCTACACCTGTTGTATCCCACATATTTCGTATCAATCCCATAAGCAGTTACTCTCTCATAAAATGCCATATCAAGCAGTGCAACGTTTCATTGGTTGGAGGATTTCATCATGAGCTGAAATCAGTTAGAGAACAATTGGAAAACCTGGGGGTACCGGACAGCTGTCTCGACCTAGTTTTGGAATCTTCGGCAGTAAGCACTCACCGAGATTCGTATCCAGGACGTTCTGGTTACAAGGCAAGCCCGTAGACTGATGTCAGCCAACGATGAAATTCTTCAACTAATCAAACAAAATGCCTACATAACCAATATATGAAAATGACGTTTCATCTTAGTAAAGTTTTATTCCTATAAACAATAATTCCTTAATGTCTTACTAATCAATTCTCCATCTAAACAAATGCGTCAATAATGGTATTGTACGTGTATTGGTCTCAAACATCAGGTAATAAAGATGAGATAAATCAATAACTCATTGTAACGATATGCTCGAAAATACCATATATATATATATATATATATATATATATATATATATATATATAATGAGCAATATTATCACTACGGTATAAAACTAAACGTGTATACCTCCAACTTACAGTCACTGTCATCACTGTCTGAATGATGTGAAATGAATTCACCATCATCTGATGCTGCTTCAGTAAACAATTTACCCAACTGTATTTCACGTTGTGGTTTCAACAAGGTGATTAATGCCAATAAAATATCATCAGTAATATCAAAATGCATTAGAACACGAATCAGTTCAATAACTAAATATACACAAGATGAAAAAAGAAACAGTGAGATGAAAAATTAGCAACACAGATCAACTTTTTCTCCAGTCAGGAAAATATAGATTACCGGCTCTTACATTTATATGTATGTATGTAGTTTTGTTTTGCTAAGATGTCTAATAAATTAAAACCGAATGTACTCACACTTTAAATATTCTAGGGAAATAAAACCATTACGATTAAGAAAAGTATTAAAAATTCCAACATACTTAGTTTACCCTTGAAACTAGTGCAATACACATATATACATTATGCCTAGTTCAATTTAAACACACCTAATGTTAAGATGATAGAGTGAAGCAAACAAAACCAATACATGCATTTAATGTACGGTGATGATTACTGAAATTTAAAAAACGATGTATAACTGTAGCAGTATAGAAAAATCTCCTGCTCAAAGCGGATTAAAATCACAGAAAAGAAAATTAGTAATGATAATCATAAGGAATAAGTGAGACACAATGGAATAATATATACAAGATTTAGGAAAATGAATTATGTAATCGATGCGAAGTACACTGACGAAACAGTGAAATAATTCAAATGGTATCATGTTCAAGTCGATAGATTTCATGACCCGAACGACGGCATTTTTCGATTAAATTCCTGATGATTAAAATGATGAACTTTGAAAGCTGCAATACCATTTTTCTAATCATGTGCAGTCACTATAACAATAGAATCAGACTTTCTATAGGACTAAAGATATTTATCGTGTGATGATATGTACACATTTTGATAATGAGTTCGTCAAACATCTAACACTTCACCAGGTATATACACAACAATACACTACCAATCTGTCATTTTGATTCCAAAATCTTTAATGCACCTTGATATTCCACCTATGCTCCACATACGTCGATCTAGAAAACAAATATCATTCGAGTCAAAGAGCATAAAAATATGCATCGCAAGTATATGAGTTGCTTTGATAACTAAATTACTCTATTGAAGTCTTTGGTGGGAAAATATACGTGGTATGAGAGACTATACCTTACAATACTTACCTTTATACCAATGCTAAACTGCATTTTGATATGATGCATAAAGTGATTTATAAAAAAGGATTATGATCAAATAAAATATTCTACAATTACTTAAACAATAACAATAAGAAAATGAACAGTTACCGGCTGACTGGACTTCCAAATGTAGTGATTCAAGTAAATAGATTATTCGATCAATTAAAGCTCGGTTAGCTGTTGTCCGCTCACCCTAAAAATAATGAAAACAAACAATAACGGCTATCACTTGACAATTACTTGGAAAACTATTACAACGATACCATAGTTGGCGAAGAATGTTAAAGATATATATATATACTGAACGAAGCAACAACGACAAAAATACCAAGACAATATCGACTTGTTCTTTATTATTTGCGATTTCTTCTCAACTGACTACCACCTGCATAATACAAAGATGTAAATTGTATAAAAGATATAAACATACTGCTTACTCTATTCCAGGGATTAATTGTTAAGGTCTATAAGTAACATAGGTGCGGGATGATTATTATTCCCTTGAACACATCTTCAGTTTCTTCTATTTTCTGCTGTCCTCTCCATCTGGGTCTACGATTGCCCAGACCTTCTCACCTCCTCCTCACACGATCTTCTCCATGTCATTCTCACACCGACGACCTACTCTTCGCTTCCCATTTGGATTCCATTTGAGCTATGCCCTGCTTTGCACGCGATGACATTCGAGGTTTTCCTCAATGTACTTCCGATCTACCTCTATTTTCTCTTACATATTTTCTGAGCGATCGGCTTTTGGTTGGTTTGTCCTCAGCAAGACTTTCTTATTATTAATTCTTTCCGGCCATTTGGTCTTCATTATGAAGCCAGCAAAGAAAGCTGTTGATGTAACACGCAGTGCAAGTTTCTGACCCATAAAAAAGAAGTTGCTGACCGGCTTCACATTGGTGTTGAAAATCCAAATCTTGTCTCTTATACTAAGTGCGGAAGAATTACGAACAGGTTCAGGTTGATGAATGCGTATCTTGACTTTCCGATTCTGACTGGCTTCGACATCTTCATCCGTTTCGACTGCCTGTAGCTGAAAAGATGCTTCCTAGACAATAGAAGGCAGGAAGTAACCTCAGTTAAGTCTCTACCATTGATGTTGATTGGTGTTGATGTTGCAGTTCAGTGGTTATCTTCACCACCTCCATCTTCTCTGTGTCAACCTGCAGTCTTGTTTTCGCTGCTTGCTTCTTCAGGCAGTTTGTTGGTTTTCGCCTGTGCGTTAGTCTTCGAGTTTGTGTGACATTAGACATATATCATTTGCAAAATCCAGATCTTCTAGTCTTCTTATAGGTTGTAGTTGTAGCCAGCTGAGAAGAAACAGCGAAATAATAAATAATGAGTTTGTATTACTTAGGTAGATTTTTTTCCTTGCTTTGTTCAAATTTACTAATGGGAAGAATTGTGTGAAGTTTTTAAAGACACACGTAAAATGCCAGTGGAATGACATAGCTTTATCGATAAGAATATGTGTTACGCTTACTATCGACATTTTTGACGAGCAATACTACCCAAAGTAGGATTAGAAAAGAGTGAGGAATACCGAGACCCAAACAAAGCGTCAATCAATGAGATTACTGAATGCCGTTCTGTGCCAAGCACTTAGTTACACATTTTTAAAATTTCATCACTATTTTATGTCTGCTTTTACGAAGTGTACCAACTTTAATTGAAGCACTTCTACGCAAATATTCTCGTTGACTCATCAATCGATCACTGCTATAAATACACATTGAGTTGAAATGCCGACAAATAATTGGTATTTTTTCAGTCAACGTGAAGCCTACTGCTCGAATCAAATACTTGATATAAGTTAATACTCAGATTATGAATCTATTTGGATTTGTTACAGTGACTAATATACTACTCAGCTGCTCAGATTGAAATAAGTGGAGAATTAAAATCTGAATAAAAATTGATTGCCTTAGCCATGAGAATTAAGCTCCCAACTATAAAACATACTTTTTCCTATTGGAAAACAATAATGATCAAAATACTTAATATTACTGTTATTATTGCTGTTATAAATTACGGTCAATAATCGTAATAATAATAATCCAAATAGCTTAGAGACAAAATATAGTGTATGAAAATTGCTTACACAAAAACAAATTTTCAATCAACTAATAGTTATAAAAAATTTTCGGGGGATAATCCCTGTTGTTATATAGTTTTTCCTCACTATTAGAACACGCACCTATTGTTACCTTCAATGAGAGCTAAATAGCAATGAATCAGATGTCAGTCTAATATTACTTCTTCATTTTATAATATATTTACGGAAAGATGAGACAGAAAAGATTAAAATCAGTCAAATGAATGTGTGTAGAAATAGGAATAGTTATATAATCATTTATGCGAAAGAACAAATAAATGAATGACTAAAATGCATGATGTTTTGACACTGGAAAAGAAACTAAAACCTAAGCCCACATATTCTAAAATAGTAACAATAAAGATGATGATATGAGCGACTACACACATTAAATTTTATTTATTTATTACTTTCTTGGGTTCCAAGTGGAACATAGCACTTCAGCAGCACATTTCCACTTTGTCTCAGTCTCTGTGGTCCTTTCCAGATGCACCCATGATAGAACACAATTTCTCACTTCCTCCTCATCACACGATTACCTTCTCCATGTCACCGTCAGACATACGCCCAACTCATGGTTTCCCATTCGGATTCCACTCCAGTGATGGCCTGACACGAAATGTCAAACAACAGTCTCCTCAGCGTGTGTCTGATCCACCTTCATCTTCTTCTACATATTTGTTGAGTAGTCGGGTCTTGGTTGTGTAGTTCCCGGAGTTTCTTGTTTCTGATGCCTTCCGGCCATCTGATCTTCATTGTAGAGCCAGAGACAGCAGCTGTTGATAAAAGTATGTTGTAGCCGTTTGGAACTACTTCTGGTGACTCAGCTGAAAAGCTTCTGACATATAAAGAAGAACTGACTGACTTCACATTCGACCTGAAAATCCAAATCTCGTTCTTCATGCTAATTTCAGAAGATTTACACTGTGACTTCAGAATGGCGAAGGTCTGAGTCAATTTTCCATCTCTGCTTTTGACATCATCCATCACTCCTCCTGTATTTGGAAATATAATGATGACCAGAAGAGCAAAACGAGGTAACCTCTTCCAAGTTTCTCCCGTTGATAGTGATTGCTGCTGCTTGTTGTTTCTGTCGGTTGGTTATCTTCATCTCCTTCCTCTTCTATATGTTCACTTGAAGTCCTGACTTCGCTGCTTCTTTGGTCAATCTGTTGGTTTTCGCCTGCAACTCTTCGAATTCTCGTGACATCAAGCAAAAATCATCCTCTAAGTTCATATCTTTTACAGTCTTCTTATAAGTTCAGCGTATTCCTGTCTTCTCGCTTCCTGTGCACAGTCTCGCGCAGAATACAGTCCACCACAATCAGCGAAATCGTCAGTGATAGTAGGAAGATAGTCTAGTCTTACTCCTGTATTTAATTCAAAGGCTTTGCTGAGTTTCCCGCTGCGCATCACCTGACACTTACCATTTTCCTATAGCTGCGTGCTAATGAGATTGATCAAGACTGGGGTCACGCCATAGTATTTTGGTAGTTTCCAACTTACTTCTCGGACAATGCTGTCGAAGGACTTTTCGAAGTCGATGAACTTAAGGTAGAATTTTGATTGCCATTCTATGCATTGTCCGGCAATGATGTTTAATGTTGCAACTTGATCAGCACATTATCTGCCCTTCCTGAATCCAGTTTGTTCCGTGTAGCTAAATTCTGCATTCAGTACATCTTTTATTCTCTCCAGGATGAAGCGAATTAACATTTTGCTTGGCATGATAACGTGCCAGTTTTTCAGACGTAAGTTGTCCTTCTTTCGTAGTTTGACAAGGCAGACTTTCTTCCAATCCTCAGGTACTTTGCCTTTCAAATTCTTTGCAACAGTAGCGCGAGCATATCCACTGAGGTCTCTGGGTTTATCTTCAGTGCTTCATGTGGGATTCCGGAAGGCCCCGCTGCCTTCACGGTTTTTAGTAGTTTAATTTCGTCCAAGACTTCTGCCACTCTTAGAGCATTGGTGTCCACTGGTAGTTTTGTGCGTGCTGTTGGTGATATTTGTGGACGAGGTGCAGGCAATGGTCGATTCAAGAGACCTTTGAAGTGATCAGCCCATTGTCTTATTTGTTTCTCCTCTCTGGTAATTCGGTTCCCTTGAACATATTTTATTGGCTTCATCTGCGTTACTCTCTTCCTGGATAAAGACTCTGTTATCTGCTATAATGTCCTGAGATCTCTTTTACCTGCGGCCCGTCTGTTCTGTGTCGTAGGATTGTTTTCTGCCCTAATTAACACCCTTTTTCAATCAATGCAGTGGACATTGAACTTGGCTTCTTCTTCTCCTGTTGTCCATCTTTCTATTGAGTCATCTTCTCTTCCACCATCCTCCTCTCTTCTGTTAGCTTGCAGGCGGCCGTAGAGGTCATACCTTGTCTTTCCACTTCTCTCTTCATAGGACGGTTGTACACGTTTCCTTAAACATCACTTTCAGTGATTCCGAATGTTTTCCCACACAGATTTCCTCAATCATGCTACGTAATGTATCCATCTGTGATTTGATGTCTGCAATGAAGACATCCTTTGTAGTTTCGACTTTTAGTTTCCAAGTTTCGAATTGTGGTCTGTCTCCAATTGTTTTGAAGATTTTCAGCTAAACCTTGAAGTTTATTTGCACTAGATAATAGTCTGGGCCAACATCTGCTCTTCTTGTCGATTGTGTGTCCAGCAAGCTGCATCTGCACCTTCCTGGTATTGAGATGAAGTCTATCTGACTTTTAGTATGTCCGTTAGGTGAAATCGACGTCGCCTTGTGCTTGTGCATGCTACTTCCAATCCATAAATCACTGAATACACATATGTCTTCGAAGAGTTCATACACACTAAGTTAATTACCACATAAACATATGGTTAAAATCAAGATTTTTTCAATGCAGGAATATATATATGTATATTTTTTGATTTACAGCTTGATTCCACACTGTATTTTTGGTTCAAGTATGGGATTTTCAGAATGGATATCGGTAGCCCAAATTTCGCAGGCCGACCACAGATATCAGGTGTGCGTCGGCAGGGGATCGAACCTCGGACCATGTGCATGGTTCGCGAGAGTCCTAACCACTGTGCTACCGACGCATATATATATATATATATATAACACTGGTGTATTGTTCTTTTTTCTGATGAGTAAGATATGTTCAATCCTTCATCAATCCCAGTTATAGTTTGTCTGAAGGAGTAAATATCACTTGAAATTGTATTCGTGCGCATGTAAATGATAGGAAAATCAGTGGCTGAAGAAATTGGTGTAGCTGCTCATTTAAGGCTAAGAACACATTATTTACTCAAATATTCATTTTCCTTTAATATTTCCCCTAAGTCCATACTAGTCTCTTGAAATAATTCGACTCAGTTATCTAGAACAAGCTGTAAAACTATCAACTGCAAGAAATGTTAGCTTTCTAAAAGAAGTCATTGTTATAAACTATCAAAGAATAATGAAAAAATAGAAGTTTTATTATGACAGTCAAAGAGGTCAGTGTAACCATAAGAACAATACTCACTCGGTGGCCTGTAAATCATGAAAAACGCTGCAATCTAAAAAAGTGTTTAAATTGTTTCATGAGTAATAAAGCAATTCAATAGAGCGTCAAACACTTCGATACGGCTACAATAGCAGTATACTTTGGATTTAATTGCACGCATACTATAAAGTTAAACTATTTTGTCCTTCAATTCCTTTTTTGAATGGTTATATTAAATGGACAAATTAGGACAGTTTGAATTCAGTTACTTAAAAGTGTAACAAAAGTGACTTTTGAGTGTCATAGAAAGTTTACCTAAACACTGAAAATATAAGGAAAGTGGTCAGTCATTAACCACTGACCTAGTTGTTCCCCTTTCTAAAACGTTTCTCATTGAAAATGGTATAACTCAAAAGATTCATATCAGTCTTCAACTTTTGAAAAATTCCTGTCTTTATCTACTTTTCAACTCTGTTACCTTTCTAGAAGACACATAACCAATCATTTTCTAGTTAGATAATTTAATAAACAGTTACCTTTTGACTACAAGTATTTCACGTGACTAACATTTAAAACCGCTCCTCAGAAGTTATGCTACCTCATCAACTAGAAGATGGGGAAATACTCGTTATACAGCTTACTGTTGAGATTATTTTGCGTGATAAAAAAGATAGACACTTTTTATTAGAAGTTGAACATTATTTTTTTTTACCAATCACTCTTACTTAATTGAAATAAATAAATGGATGTTTACGAACAAATAAGCGCATCGATCAGTTTACGTAATCTTAATGAAGCTGGGGTTGAAGAAGCTGCCAAGTCTGTTGACGAAACATCAAAGATCAAATATAGAACATAAGAGAATATCAAACGATTCCCATTTTTATCCTGAGTTACAAAACTGTATTTCAGAGTTATATTCACAACAAATTCAAATTCATTTCAACCCATTACTTTGCTTGATTTCCAAAGAGCATAAAGCAAACCGCAGCCTGATGAGTCGAGGTTTAGTAACCTCACTTTTATTCTTCATAGTTCTTTATCCTACTTTATTTATTTTTATTATTACAATAAGCAGCATAAAACGTATACCAAACAATAAAACGATTAAGACGTTAGGTGAATAACTTCTGAATACGCACTTTATATCTATAAAAACTGTTAAGAAAAATTCCGAAGTAGGCAGGCAAAGACTTGCAACTAAGTACAAATATGAGTCAGTAGGAATGTTTCCTGAAAAAATACAAGATAGGAAGTGAAACACTAGTGTTTATAGAAAATCTACGGATTCAAACCGGTATTCGGATTCCAAGTCATCTTATAGCAAATCAGTAATAGTCGGACTAGTGAGATGCTCAAGTTATAAGTCAAAACAGCCAAATAGTACGAGGGAAAATATGAGGCAGGAAGTAGAACTTATAAGAACAGCCTTAACATGGAATAATTATCCTGATAAATTTATCAGGAAGTATATAGATTATAGGAATACAGATAAAACAACCAATAAATATTAAATGTATACATAAAGATGATAACATAAAGACAGGGAATTCCGACCATCCGTAAAGAAGAAATCTCGGACACTTTGCATTGTATTCCTTATCGAAGTATCCATAAGAGTGGCATTCAAACCTACAAATTAGTTTGAGACTGGGTATTAGGTGAAACGATCTTGTGTATACTACTAAACAAAACAATTTAGTTTCTCGAATACCATGCAATAATTATGAGGTCAAAAGCTTATGTCAAATTAGTAGACCAGTGTCAATTAGATTAGCAGAGCACGGAAATTTAACGAGACCTAATCTGGTAAACCCTATGAAGAGGAGAAAACATTATAGCACCACAACCAAATAATACAGCAGGACAACGTGACAGCTCTGAAATCTAACATAGAAGGGTAGAGGGAGAGATTGATGACTGAGAATTCGTTTATCCCATAGGAATGATCCAGCACCTCTCACGGTCGTCTGGAAAATTCTCATTCCACTACGACAGATGAAGATCAAATGGCAAGGTTCCCAACTCATTAGAGCTTCGGCTGCGATTGGTGACATCATGATAGCCACTCACCGCCTCAGTGTGCTCGTGGTCGTCGTCTGGGTGACCAGAACACAGATTACTGACTCATCAGTTGAAAACTTTTTGGTAGTCTACATCTATTCCATCTGTTCTTACAGATTCCCAGCACCTCTGTACCATATTTTCTCATTCCTTCATCTACCTTGGCAGCCTTCCCAGCCGGGTTCGTACATTGTACGTACATTCCACGTCCCTATTCTTATTCTTGCTTTCATCGAGAGGAGGCATATTGGCTGAGTGGCTTCCCGAAAGCTTTCACCAGCCTGCTGTGTCATTTCGCCTCTTCAAATGCAACGAAAAATACGTTAGTTTCTTATATCTTTCGTATTTTTAATGCTTTTCTTGTGAGTTGAAGTTTCTGTTGCAGTCTGATTGGCTTTCTGTGAGTAGGTTCGCTAGCCCGACTCCTCCCTCTCTACCCGGTTACAGGACCAGCTAGAGAACTAGCGACCAATTAAACCAGGCGAAGTTGGAAAAAAGGCAAATTGTAAGATTCGAATTTGAAAGTTGTAAAGTTACGGTTGAAAAGACAATGAAAATTGTGTTAGATACGTTAAACAGTAAATAATGCTGTTTCCCTGTGATGTATCTACCACAACGTCAAAGTTTTAACAATAAACAAATCAATTAAATTTGCTACGATTGAATACAGCACAAAAAGATAACAGAAATACAAATGACACCACAATAGATAAGCATGAGTTCTCAAGAACATAGTCAAATGAGGATTAGTGAAGGTATCTAGAATTTTGGCGATTGTGAGAATGAAGTACACCAGTGCCATTGTTAACAGGTAAGAACTATACCACGAAGAGACTCTAGATACCGATTTTTAACAAATCGAAGATGCCTAAACACACGAACTGCTAAAGAACTTACCCTTACAGCCAAAGACAGGCAACACCGTCAGTGACTTGAAGATAAGTCTCACGTCCTGATTAAACTCACCCTTATTTCAACTTCTGCTTATTCAGACAGAACTACTTACCGAAAAAGATATTAACTAGATATGCGCAACACATACCTAAGTCACCACGCCTGGTGATGTACAGCCTCCTTTTTTTCCTTCACGTTTCCCAGTGGAACATAGGGCTTCGAGCTAGGGGCTTGAAGTTTCTGTAGCAGTGTTTATTTTTACAGGATGGGGTTGCTAGCCTCATGCCCGACCTTTCCTCTTTACCAGCATTATTTCTGGCTTAGAGAGGTTAAGGAGTTCATCGGCCAGGGATCAAACCCCGGACCATGTGCATGGTCGGCGAGTGTCCTAACCGCTATGCCACTGACGTACAACCTCTCCCACTAATTTATCTTTCTTACCCATCCCTATTCCCAGAATTCATGAGTAAAATCATGAAGACAACCATGATCAAAAGCCTGCGGCCTACTTTCGTGTTATCTTCTACAATTGCATATCAAAAACACAAATTAGGTCTTGGCAAACTGCTGGGCTACAGATTCGGCCTATAATATAACAGTAGAATATGGACAGTGTGGTAGAACATAACTCCATAATAGATAAGTTGATCTACTGTAAGACACAGCGACTCAGCCTAATTAACCGAATGACACTTGGAGCACAATGTATTGCTCATAATCATATTAGTGTATTCACACAACTTAATAACTTGCTTTACATAATCTTACTCCCTCATGTTTTGTAATTTTCCATATGTCCGATATATACACTGTGTCCTTTAATCAGCAGTTGCAGCCACAGTTGAACGTTGATATTTCAATTCAGTTAGTTCGTTTTTGTCCCATTTTACCTTCCAAATAATTGAAGAGTGGCCAACAGCTTGAAATATTTCAGTTCCTATCATTTAAATAGGAAGTAGAGCGGCCCAGTACTTCACCAACTTATATATGAGAGGTGGAAAATATATTCTAAACCTACTGTAATTTTTGCCGAAGACGTCCTTCATATCCTTCAACTGTCAACGCCTCATCCTGATCAAAGTACATTCCTATACTCTAAGTTAAAAGTACCCTCTACCAATGTATCCATGATAAAATTAAAGTGATAAGAGTGGGTGTTTTTGGCAATGGCCCCGGTTATTTTGTACGATGATTCTCCGAAGTATCTTATCCAACTATGTGAGGTTATTCACAACTTTATTTACTTTTGTAATCTGCTACAATCAATAAGTCTTACCAAGCAATCATATAAGCAGCATTAAGTCAAAGAATTATATCATTTGAAAATAAATTACAGCTTTATGGCACTACTGCTATTATTACTACTAATACAATGCAGTACACTGACGGTGCTAAATATAAAAAATTAATTTATTTGAATTGAACTGAGCTTCACCTGTAAAACTCGTATACTTTGGAGAGCTAATTGTTGAGCTTTAGGAGAATTGCATGGTAAAACACCAATTAATCCTTTGTAAACTTGGTCAGAGAAACGTGGGTTGCCTTCAGCTAATATCTCTAGCAGATCTCTGGCAGCTTCTTGTGTTTCTTCTGATTTTGATTTAGCCATACATTCAGCAACAGCACGAATACCTAGAAAAGGTATTAAAGTAAATCTGTATTTGAAATAAGTGAATTACTTTTATTTACTGTTGAATATCACAATGTTAACAAAATATCACATGATCAAAAAGGACAGTTAAGTAAACAGTGCACTTAGATTTCAAACGCATATACAGTCTAAATTCATTACATGCTTTTCATCGAGATACTGGTTTGTGTAATGAACCAGGCAACTATTGTCTTGATTGATTTTACACGGCAATTAAATATGAATTCACCGATATATATCTCTAGCTTTCATAATGAAAAACAAAAAGTAAAGACAGTTGTGAATATGGTTATACAATCCGTGAATCACTGTGGTGGTTAATCAGCAGAGATGTTCTAGATCCCACATATTGCATGGTAGTAAAATATCTACACTTCGTAATTCTGTTATAAAATACTGGGTTCACCCTTAAGTCAATTAGATCTGTGGATTACCAATACAGGTTGCAAGTACAGCAAGTTAATTTAAGTAAAACTAACAGAGAATCTAATGGAAGCGTAATCACTGTCTTCTGTTAGTCAGCTATAAAGCACATGATCATGAGAATTTCTTTACAAATCATCACATGCTCAGTTAGGAAGAATACACTGTCACTTTCTTCACATTTTCTCCACACACACAAAAAACAGAGACTCCAAATAATATTCCTTTAGGGAGAGAGAAAACAAACTATTAACCAACTTTTCTGAGAGTAGCAAATAAATAAACACCAATGCAGAAAAATATATCCAACAATAGGATGATATAGGAGTGGTAAGGAAGGATACTCAAAGTTTTATGTACCTACAGATTAAAAGAATTATGTATAACACTAAGCGAAGAAAGCATCTTAACGAATAACATAAACAGCTTCAAATAAGTGAGAACAAACAGAGAAAACAAAAACAACCATGGAAAAATTACATAAAACAACTAGGGATAAAAACAAAACAAAAGCCAATTTACCATAACATTCACATATTGTCTCTTTATAATGTGTACCAGCACTGGCTACGCAAGATAGAACTTTAAGCGCCCAAAGTTTATCCACTTCTTTACCACTAGATGAAATACATAATTCTTGTAAACACAGTACACCCCCATGCTCCAGAAACTCAAGTAAGTAATTGTGACTTTTTTCAGAGGAAAATATCGAAAACAAAACAGATAATTCAAGTTGGTAATTTGCAGGATTCGATCAGTTTGTGATTAGTCTTTATAATAAACTGAAGTCAATTGAACAAACAATCTAAAAGAAGGGAGGTTTGGTAAATAGCTGTTATGTTCTAAACTGTTACGCTTCAATGTGTCTAATAAAATCAAAATAAGAAAATTAAAACAGTAGAGATACACAAAGAAATCATAGGTTAGATCCAAATGAAAGGAAGATGATATTTGCATCTTTTGTCTCTTTAGAATAGTACCAGACAGTAATAAAAGCTGTAACACACAAAATAAAACACAACCATCCCTCTTACTTTAGCTAAGGGGATTTTTCATAAAATTATATGTTTCTAAAGCTGATTTGGTGTCTTTCACTTGACAAATTTTCATGTAAAATAGTCTTTAAAACATTGAATGAAAAGTGGAGTACTTTTGGAATAGACTTCGACTCTGACTAATGCAACACGATACTACAGTAATTAGTCTTTATTAATAGTTTAAGAACAAGGAGTGAAATGATTCTGAGATTACACAAGCCCTAATGAACTAGTGCCTAAAGTGATCGTAGCTCAGATACAAACGGTTTGTGACGCCATATTTGCGTCACATGCATGATATCCTGCTTCCAAACATGTCCTATACGACAGTTCTCGCAGTTCTACTTTATGACTATTAAATGACAGTTGAAAGTAGATATGAAAAAACGAAGCTTGTCACCATTCCTTGTGCTCGTGTTGGGTCCAACAATAAGCTAAATAAAATATTCGGGCAAACTTAGACAGTAAATCTAATTGACAGAGTTGACTACAAAGTGTGTTACATATAAAACTACTTTGTAAACCGATCAATGTTAGATGAGGTTGGGAATAGACAGGGGAAGAGTTTAACTGTACTTATTGGGTCAGATAATCTGAATACAGTATGTCATCTTCTTGCAAATATTTGATGGCAGTTACAATTTCTTTTACAACTGGTTCAGTTATATCAAGCTGGTTAATATTTTCATCTTAAAAAAAGAACTATGGGTTCAATCCCTGGACCACCAATCACAGTTTATATTCTCCTCAGAAATATTGCGTTACGCACGACAGATATTTATTGCCTGGAAGTTGTAAATATACCACGTTGATGAGTGCCAGAATCGGGAAAAGTCATGTGCAGAGCTTCTTTTCAATTGCCTCCAGTTACCCAAAAAAAAACTATTATTATACGATAGATAAGTAAGTCATAAAAAGTGAAATACATTAAATAATCAGCAATGCTCACCTGCTTGATGCTGATAAGAATATGTGGAGAGCTTGTAGTTGTTCAGTCAAACAAGTTCCTGACATGTATCTGAAAAACAAACACTAAGAATATGCAAATCATTCGAAAAATAAGATGAACAATACTAATCACCTGGAGTTTTAGATTAGAATTGTCTCCCAATGCATCCACAGATAAATCCCTAAAATACCTTTCGACTAGTTAGCATAAAATGTATTCAGATTGTAAGATGTCTACGAAATCCAGGATGATTTTATCTCTTATAACACAAAATACATTACAAAACAGCTCATGAGAAAAGTTTTACTTGTTAACACAACAGGCGAAGCGGGAGTAATGAGCTGTATGAAATCATAGTTTGTTGAGAACTGAAAAAAGTCGCAAGTTTCTGTTTCAAAAGCTGCCATAAACTAGCTTCCCTTCTGCCTCTAATCACTGTCACGTACAAATCAGCCAAAGCTATATGTGACAGTCTAATTGGTTATATATATATATATGGGTTCGAAATAATCACACCTCTGAAAACACCGAAAAAGAGGGTGGACAAGTCTACAGTGAACGCTAAACAATTGAAGTAAACAGTGAATGGATGAAGTAATTAATTACAGAGATTTCGACATTTACTGTAAGAAAAATACAACGAACCAATAACGAAACATTTGTCTTGAATTCTATCATAGCAAATAAATAATACAAAAATATAATTGTAGGGAATAAAATGAGAAATCTAGAGGTCTTTCGGTCCAGTATACTGCCAACTGTAGAACTGGAGGTAGTACAGTATAAATATACGAGTAGACGAAAATAAAATGGCTGGCGAATTGAAATCCACGATATCTAATTATCAATCAAGATCATATTTTTAAATTGCTTTCCGATAAGCTTTGTCGGTGTGGCAAGTTGACGGAGAATTTCGCACATAAAAATACGGTTAGAGTATGATTCATGATTATAATATGAATTGAAATGTACGGTGACAGTGAGCAGCAGAAAACCCATTGATAAGAAAATAATAGGCTTTAAAGATTACACAAATCTGTAAACAAATTCCGCGGCCGATTACAGACAAGAGCAGAAAGCAACTGAATAACTGTACAACAGATTATTTCATCATGTAATAAAAATATTTTCAACTAATTTTATAAATGTAACGTGAAGACATACGTTAATTTTATCCACACACATATTCTAGCCAAGAATAAACTAGCCATTTGAGCAAGTTCTGTTTCTAAATCAGGTCCAGAGCAATTACGATATTGTCTTATGAAATCCTGCAAAAATTGCCGACGTTTTTCTTTTGGTGCAGAGTCCCATTCACGTAATAAACAGGTCATATTGTAAGTGGCACTGTCCTGTTTAGCAGAAGCCATTAATAGTACGCTGTATGTATATATAAAAAGGGATAATCCATGTTTAACAATGTAAATAGGATTTAAACCTTTACATTTACTTAATCAAACCCGGAAAAAATTGCTTAATGAAAAATAGGAAGTATTTCACATAAAATTAAGTGACAAATTCGAAAGTCTGAGCCAAAATAAGACATTAATGGTGGCAGCGATAGTACTGGTATGTGAAACAGTCTAAATATAAGTGGAACCAGAAGCTATTTCATGTTAGTTTTGTGTCTTTAGACTACTTAGAAAATAGGGAATTACAGCAGATCACTACCAGTCTTTCCGCGACTAGAAAAATATATCTTTAACTGGTCTCATAAATGCTGGTGAATAATGTATACATTTAATAAACAAACACAGATATTCTAAAGCCACTTTGAACGTCTAAAAAAGTTTTTTGTTGGAATCAGTACTATCAGCACCCTACATCTAGAGTATACAAGTCGGCAGAAAATAAGTTGTAAGTAGAAAACTACTCAACTAAGAAAATAATATGCAGTGTTACTGAGTCATATTCACCTAGCAAACAAGTATTGGGCAGAGAATTTCATTAGTTGAGACTTCTTTTATATTCCAAAACGAAAAGATTGATGAGCTACAACTGATTAGTTTACTGAAATAAATGAGACAAATAGTTCACAAAATTGTTGAATAACTTTAAAAACTAATAAAACAAACTACTTATGTCACAAGTAAAACACTAAATTACTTATTAAAACACTGCAATCGTGGAAAGCAGGTTCGATTCCCAGACAAGCTGACTTTACAAGATCATAATAGATAGTTATAGACATCACACTGTGTAACAATTTAAACATTCCACTCTTGAGACTTCTATGAAACCAAACAACACCAGACTAAAGAGAAGTGAGAATAACATTCATAGGTATGTCTTCACTTCTACACGCTTTTAGCGTCCAAAGTCAGTTATCAAAGCAGTTTCTAGTTACCATATTAGGTTGCAGATGGAAACTCATTCTATTTACATTAATTAAGATAAGCAGTTAGTCATCAATGCATGGTGCACAAGTGTTCAGTGTTATTTTATTTTGTCCAAAACTATTAAAACCAAAAGGCTTTATCAGTAATTCATGAAAACAGACGTAGACTGCGAACATGAAACTTGACCCTAATATCAAAGTCACCACAACCCCACAGAGCATAATTTAACAGGAAATTTTAATTAGAAATAATCAAGTTACAGTTAAACAATAAGAGATAAGGGAAATGAATGTAAGGTATAAATAAATCTGCAGCTAAACCAAGGACTCTGTGTCATATCACCTGCGATTTTCTAACGTCACTAGATATTTGTTTGTGGTTCCCTGCAGAACTTAAGGCGAACCATGGTATCCATTAGGTATATAAACAACGAAATTTATAAACACATACTGAAATCTTTTATTCCAAGATGACTGAAATGTTACAGACTGCTCTTGAGTATATTCAGTGTGAACTATTCTTTCCTCTCTTGGTCAGAACTTATGTATAAAATCTTGAACAGACCTGGACGATCACATTTATCTAGACTATTTAATATATATATATATATATGGGACTTCACATGAAAACTGTTTATTATCATATGGTATTATCTGATAGGAATGATTACTCGGGGTAAATCATCAAGTAAAATCCTGAATCTTTTTCATATTTTAGACTCCTCGACACCCTACTATACACCTTTAGCTACCACAACTAAATGTCATAAATAAGCAGTGATTACAACACAGCATAGTACACACACTCTGACGTATAGGTGGATATCACACCTGTGCGAAGGATAACACCAGTTGGCCAAAGCTTAACAAACCTTTTGTAACTACCCTAAAGTTTCGTCAATAATCAGTCTATTATAGCTGATGCAACTCCCCAAATAATCGAAGCGGGTAGCACAATATACTATTCGCTCACTACTTTTAAAGCAGTACTCATTCAAATTTTTCCTGTATTACCAGCTGTCACTTCACAGGTATGTATCTTATGTGTGTTGAGAAGACGGTGTTCTCATCTGAAAGAACTGTGTCATTAGCATACTTTAGATTAGGGGGATTATTCCCTACTAACAAACAAATCCATGAGATGAGTAAATAAGTCGGCATTGCCTAGAACAGTACTTCTGTAAGAACGGTGACGGAACAAACGTGAAGGACACCACTGGTTGTCTTCACTGCGCATAACAACTCTTCGTTAGCCCTTCGAGTGAGTTATAATAATATCCTTGCTGGACACTAAATTTCTAGTCAGGTATTATTACGGACACTCTGGACCAGTGTAGTCAAATGTCTCCTTCAGGTAAGGACATATAATCACTAAGTGATTTTATGTTCCAGAACTTGAAGTGTGAAAACTGTGAAGTGTGTGAGTATCCTGTTGTTCCATCCAGAAGCCTGTCCAATTTATTGGTGTTTGTTTTTCCTGAGTCTCGCTTAGACTTTGCAGGACTGTGGAACCTGCATCTTAGATAGATTCTTAGTCAAGAAATCCTCCCTGTTATTATCAAAGATAGGCTTATTTCTTTTCTTATAAGCAAGGACAATTATAATATAGACCAGGCTGCTGGAATCTCTAATTTGCCTGGCAAATAACTCATCGCCGTTCTCAAGCACATCTGGAACCACACTATTGGGACCTGCCATTTTTCCTCGTTTTAGATCGAAGATAGCTTTTATCATCGTATTTACCGTTGGAGGAATAAAAGATAAATGGAGAGTAACTATAGTTTATCTGTGAGCCAGTTGAACTATTCGTTAAAATTTTCCGTTCATTTGTAATCAATATTAGAACCAGTCGCAAAAGATCTCAACAGAAATACACAAATATTCATCAACACGTATTATACATTTTGCCACAAAAATGAGAACCTTACATTCAAATTCCATAGGATGTCTTGAGACAAAGTTGCAAAAAGAAAGCAAACAAAGTAATACATTGAGTAAAATAAACACAAAATATAAATGCAGCTTCCTTTGTCCTCAAACAGTATATTTTAACAAATCCAAACACTACAAAAGAAACCTGGCTTTTCATGTCAGTAAAACCAAAAGTCACTTGTTTCATGGATCGATACTGCATTCACCTATTCGCGCTTAAGTTTCTTCTAAGCCTATCATTCTTTTGCCAATCTTTGTAATTATACAGTATTGTATTTTGTGCATTTAATAATCAAACACCAATAGCCTCTCGACCTCTTAAGCCTTCTAAAAATATAAAGCTTTTATCCAATAAGCTGCTTATAGCTCAGTTGAAACAAAAATGACAGAAGTTGGTATATGACACAAAACACTTTTAAGATACTGGCAACCAAATCATAGCCAGGTGCGTTACTTAATAAGTTGATCAGATGATATACTAAGACATCGTATTTACTGTTCTTAGAAGAGAATATGTTATGAGTTATCTATGAGTCCAAAGAAACTCCACAGACGCTAAAAATGTGTGTGACCTATAGCTAATTTTGGCGAATATCAAGGATACACAAGATAAGTAACAGTTCCCAATCCATTTCGTTCGTTCATAACTAACGGGAGTAACTGATCAATGTTAAGTAACATATTATCAGCCCAAATAAATGAACACATGAATGGCTTAAGATGAGCTACAATCAACTGGTTTAATAAATTAGAATAAGAGAATATTAAATTTTGCTGTCATCTTAGGATCTCGAGTTTTTATTGTCAACATTAATCTTAGAAGCTCAATTAATGTCTCTATACTTGAAACTTATTTTGACAAGCAGATAGCAGTGTATCCCGCAGAACCTGTCGTGTATAACAAACTTCTATAAGAAACGCTAAGTTGCGTCTACGAATAAAGAGACACCTACCGATTTTCAAAGATTTTAACAGACCTTTCGACAAAGTATATCGCACGAGACCACATGATATGAAGAAATAGTACTTTTGTGGGCCCAATAACAGTTAGAACCGATTAGTTCGGGAAATAGTAATTCGGAGAGGATGAAGACAAAATTAAGGCCTTTTGTTGCCAACCAAAAATCTTAAACTGAGTCTCTAAAGCTAGTTTTATGATCATGACAGGGTACGATTGAAACACCTCGCAGTAAGATGCCGGGCTTGCAGAATGAAAAATAACATAATAGCCCTTAAGAAAACTGGACAGTCGTGACAACTACAAGAGTAACTTTAATTCCTTACCCTTACTCCATGATTCGTGTTAAAATATGCATCCATTAGCTCAACAATATTTAATATTATGTTTACGAGCTACCGTAAACCATACAGATTACTGTGAGCTCGATTTCTATTTGTATATTAAATGTTCCTGATTCTTAGTTTTCCGAGTTACTAGCATCTTAATAATAATAATAATAATCACTTTATTCCACAACAATACACACACTACTACCTCAATTATATTAGGAACGTGTAACAAGTACTCTGTTGAAAGAGTAATAAAATTTGCATTCCTTTGGAAGGAGCATTGAAGAAATCTGTTAGGAATGATGACACTTAGAAGGCGGCCCATAACCAATCAATATATTTACGAATTTCTTAGAAAACTAAGACGTAATGCCTTAATATTATTGATTTTGAAATCATGTATTTCTATGAATAACTCTTAACTCACCCTAAAACTACTAGCAAAATACACATATGTCTTCACTATAAAAAAGGTAGCCAATTGGGGTTTTGTGGCTCCGGAATAACTTAGATTTCGATAGCGAAGAAAAGTAAGCTTAGTAAAACCCATGTGAACTACACAAGTAATGAAGGATAGGCAGAAAGAAGGCCCTGCGGAACCAAAGAATATTTACCTAAAAAAAACACCTACCGAAGACACGAATCAAAGACCCGCAAAAGTTCACATGGCAACCCTTAGAGTGTTTGTGATGTATTTAAACAATGATCAATTGAGATTTGAGACCTCTGTTACATTATTAAATTATATTCAGAAGGATTTTTTGATGGCATATTAGGGACTGCTTTACTTCGTAGATAACAGTCATATCTGCTGAATGTTAAAATTGGAGGTGATGATTGTCATAACCTTTTACAAGAACCCTCTTCTCTACAATACTGACATGCCCTGTGAGTTCTGCGCTCAGCTTTGAGTTTTATCAACACAAAGAAAATAAAACATTCTTCCTACTCTAATAACAACATCCTGTAATTTGTTTCCATGTCACAATATTCAATTAAAGTGAGGCGAAAAACAACGACCACTTTCCGTATTTTTCGACCACATTGTCAGAACATTAATAAATCTCTCCATCCCCATTGTTTGCTTGGACTATTATATGTCGGAAGACTCAGATATGTCCTAGGTAGGTCATGGAAAATATCGTAACGCATGGCTTTGCGAATTCTCATAGTTAACTTTTTAACATGCGAATACTAAACCTGGACAATAATGTTGGCCGTAGCGTGCCATAAGTCTCACCACCAACTACTTCCCTTTACTTCAGTAACTTGTGGCGGTGTTACATAACATACTCATTAAATATTCTCGTTTTACTCTCTCCTCTAACAGAGTGATATGACGAGAAAAAATGATACAATATCGCCCTACGTGCTGGAATCTTTACCCTGTTCTACTGATATTCTTCCAAACAAATCTGTAAATACTGCTATTATTAAAACGACAACCGTAAAGAAAAACAACTGAAGAAAAAGTGTGCAGCCTTCAATGTGCCAAGAGAGTCATCACACTTCTCGTCTTAATCCCATTCAGTTGACTAGCATCTCTCAAACCGCTAGCAACGTGAAGATAGTGTGTCATTATAATAGCTATAATTCAGAAAATCAATTCAGTCAGAAAAGAAATTTTCGTGCACAGGAGAAGTATAAAAATAGACTTTTCTTTATTGGCATCGTTGAGATAATACGACACAACACAGTGGGAACTTTGGGAAAGCAAGCTTATTTATCTTCTGTCCTTGATAGCAAAAGTAACGGCAGGAACACGGACACATCAACTGTATCCATCACAAGAGAAACAAACACATTACCCAGCACCAACCATGTAGCCCAAGTTCAGAGACGTCGTAACCCTATGAAATTGGTTTTAGCGGCAGGAAGAAGGGACAAGGCAAGGGAGAGCCGGGATAACCGGTGGACTGGCACACAATGCATTGTCGTCAAAGTCATCAGAAGAGTTTCAAGAACGGTCCCCCAATTAGCTGTTTACTTCTAGTTAGATCTGTGTTATGATCACCATGATGACCCTAGAGGGAGGAATGAACAAGAGCAGTGAATAATTCCACAGACCTATCAGCTCATAGAATTCATGACCAAAAGTTGGAAGCTGACCTTCGCCTTTGAAGTTGACTGTTTAAGCTAGAGGCTAATTGTTAAGCGTCTGTATCATCCATCTGATCGTGATCGACCCCAAATCCGTTAAACAGATGTTATCGCTCTGCCATTTGGACCCTGAAACATACTTTAAATTTTAAACCATTCCTCCAGGCTAAGTAAAACAATTACTGCAGGAGTTGAAAGATAAGGGTGGGAGATTTTATGCAACATAACTTGCGTAGACGTCAACATCCTTTTATTCCGTTAACAATGAACGTCAGTATTTGTCTATGGAGTTGAAGATTGAACGATCAATTCTTGGTTGTTTGCTCAAAATCAACTTCCCCAATTTTCGCGGAGGCATCAATACGACAGTCATCGTCTCATCGGTCGCTGTTCAGAAAGAAGAGTGAAACATCGTCAGAAACCTTAGTTCGCTTATTCTTTTTATATGTTGGTGTAACAATAAAGAAATATCAAGCGGCCAATCGGTGTTTTGGTTTTTTCGTCCGTTATAACTAAGTGTTTCTGAGAAATCTTCGAGGAACAGCGTGGGCCCGAGCGTAGCGAGAGCTGGGCATTAACGGTTTATGAGACGTGATTGACAGTTTCTGACGATAGAAACAGATCTGGCGGATTCAAACAGTTGGTGAAAGTTTGGATAGTCGCCATTCATTTTTCCTGGTGCCGGACAAGTCCTCTTTGAACAAGCAATATCTGGAACTTTTTGGAATTTGCTCAAGTTCAACAATGCCTGGGTCAAAGAAGGGACAGAGTGTCTTGGATGCAAACAGGAAAGTAAGTCATTGTGACTTGTCAGTTACTTGTAACGATGTGTCTGATGTTAAGCATGACATGGTTGATGTTACTGTTTCGCCGTTCAGGGATAATAGGAACATCAAACTCCCTAAATTAGAACCACGGTGTTTTGATGGAAACCCGGCTGATTATTTACAATTTGTAAAGGAGTTTGAGATCATGTTGAGTGGTTTTTTATTAAGTGATGAATTGAAGTTAATGTATTTGATGAGATATTGCACTGGAGATGCTGCAAGAGCTATACAGTGTTGTAAGTTTATGAAGCCAAAAGAGGGCTACGATGAGGCTATGAGCATATTACGTCAAAGGTTTGGAAGACCTTCGATGATTGCAGGGAAATTATTCGAGGCTGTTAAGGGTAATGGTGGTCAATTACAGGATGAATCCTAGGCACTCACTGAGTTTTTAGATAATTTGCTAATTTACAAGAATGCAATGATTTCGATGAATCGCACGAGTGACCTCAACTCGAGTTTTATACTAGAAGTAATAGCAAGACGCCTACCTACTCGACTGCAAAGGAAGTGGGTGAAGATAAGCTCCCGTATGGAGGATGAGGGTATCGAGCCAAAGTTTGATGATATCCTGAAACTGGTAAAAGATAGTGTCAATCAATCGATGAGCAAGTTTGCCAGTCTATTACATCTCACCCCTAGAATAGAGCAGTCTGAGGGTAAAACGCTCTCATTGATGACGAAAGGGCCTCAGAGAGGTGGATATCGAGAAGGCTCCATGATGTCCAATAATGCATATAGACCTAGTGAGTGTAACAGGTTTCGTAGTACATCCTCAACAGATAAGTTACAAGCTGCAAGACAAACACGGTTGTGTTTTACACGTTTTCAAGAGGTGCATACAAAGGTGAACTGTGAATCAGTGAGCAAGTTTAGTGATAAGCTAAATGTAAACTCCAGGCCTGACTCCGAATTGTGTGACGATAACGGTGCGGTCAGGAAGTATGTAGTTACAACTGGTAAGCCACTGTTGAATAGAGTGTCACAGAATAGAGTTACTGCTTCAGAGTGCAGTTCTGACTCCAAAAGTTTACAAAGTATAACTAGTCAGAGTGAAGATATAAAACCTTTAATGATTTGTGAGGAGGAACCAAAATTGTCTACTTCTGTTATTAAAGAGTTTGAAAATGATGAAGTTGACGGTAAAGTGAATATTCGTGATAATGATCATGATACTTCACAGTTGTCTTTGGTTGATCATTATGAGATGAGGGATATGCTTGGCAGCCTGTAGACGGCCGTAATTTTGAGTGACCGCGAATGAGATAAACAAGCGATTTGCTCGCTCGTGATTGGCCAGTTTGTCATTCTAGTTGAGGTAATTTCAAACATCATTTTGCTGCTTGGTTAAGTACTGAATTTCCGGGATCGTTTTATCAAATTTGAGAGATAACTGACAACACAATCTATTACAGCTCAGGAGGGAAATGAAATACCGGTGGATTTATTTGCTGAATTCAACGAATTCATGCCAAATTAAGATCTAAGGACTTCTTAGGGCTGTGAAGAATGCAAACAATGTTCTGAAGAGGTAATAACTTCACGCAACTTCAATTATTGCTTGACCATTATTTTCAGAGATCCTTAAATAAGTATGATATACACAGTGGTCTGGCTAATCATGATCAAAATGGCATGGTTGATGCAGCATATACATATACTCATGTATATGTAGGTAAACCTAGATAAACTGTGTTCTTGTCACGAAGATCGGAAAGCAGGTATCAGATGTCTCAGTAAGCAGTGTAATACATGTAAGTTACATGTTTTTATTTGACACAAGCTGGATCTTCACTCACTTTCAGAATTAATCTTGAATTCAGTTGGAATAAGCTTGTTGAGCACATCAGTATTGAGAGAATACAGTGAAAGTAAGTAAACACATGCTTCTTAAGATTAAGTGATACATTTATTTGACATGATTGTATAATTATTAGTTGTCTATCTAAGTTAATGATGAATTCGTTGCGATGATAATACCTATTATTGTTTTTATAGTCACTATGAACATGAATGTCATTATTATTGCTGTCAATACCTATTATTTGTCATAAAGTGGTTGTCATTTTTGCTAAAATATTTGTACAAGCTTTGAAAACTACTGCATAACTTGTTGTTAGATAATTTTATCATTTCATGATGCTTCAATGGACCTACTGGATATCGACCAGCGATAGGTTGCAAAGTCCCTTAAGTTTAGTGAAAACTATTGGGCTACTTATACATATATATATATATTGTTTGTAAAGTGATTACTTGTAAATGCTTATCAGGAAAAATTTTTTATTCAGATCATGCATGTAATACCCAAGTTAATTATGCTTTTCTTAAACCTTTTCAGACTTATGGAAAAACATATATGTGCCGTGTTCTCAGATGGAACTTACTGACGGTAACAAAGGACTACTCATCTGAATTATCTGTACATTTGAAATCTGATTTTTGTTTAATAAACAATTTTTCAATGAATCTGTCTTCCTTCTGTTGTAATGCGATTGTGTTCCAGTAACATAAGTAACTCGTGCTAAGTTAGGAGTTGAGGGTAAACTGTTAGGAGTAAATGCGGTGTCTGGAAAACTTTTGTTTACGTGGTTATATGAGCAGATAGCAACGCATCGTGTTCCGTGGGTGAGAGCCCTAGGCATTCTGTTTTTAATTATTACGATAACCGTAGTTGCACTGAGTTATACATCTAACAGCATAGGTATAGTCTCTCCTTATGTTACATTGCGACATGCAGAAATCACAAGCAA